TTAAAACAACATTTAGCATTACCGAATAAAATTAAAGAACAAACTTAAAATAATAAATTATTGAGGGGGTTAAAAAATAGCCCCCTTCGGTTGGAAATTGTATATAGATATAGTTTGACACTGTTCATGAAAAAATAATTTCTTATAAGACTATAATCTGGACAGGGGATAGCCTCTTCAGTTGGAGATAACTTTAAGTATAGAATTATAGTACTCGCTATTACGAACGAATATGCGCAAGCGAAAGATAATTGAACTTAGAATAAAATGCCAGGGTATTTTCGTAAAATTATATCCATTTCCGGAGAATTCTATTGGTTGTTTGGGCTCAATGGGACCCATAAGGAATATTTTATTCTATTGGTTGTTTGGGCTCAATGGGTCGCTCCATGTGACGGATGGCTCAAAGTAATTTTGACGGCGCGTGGCATGAAAGATCAAAACGAGGAGTTGGAGTGGTCATCAGGGATAGCGATGGGATATTCACTGCAGGCCTGGCGGGACAACTCGAGCTGGTATCCTCTCCCTTGCTCGTTGAAATGTTGGCAGCAAGAAGGGCAGTAACTCTCTGTCGAGATAAGTTTCCAGGAGGTGCGAAGTAATCATTTTTGAAGGGGATGCTTGCACAGCTGTGGCTGCTTTACAGAGACAATCGGGGGAGTGCTCTGACATGTGATCCATTATCAATGGCGTTCGTAACTTTTTGCAATATTTTTTTCCTCAGTCCAAATTATCTCACGTTCGTCGCGAAGCTAATTCACGTCGAGCATCGCCTTGCTCGTGCGGGATTGGGGTGTGCCATGGAGAGGACTTGGTTCGAGGAAGCACCGGACTCAATCTTGGATGCGCTCATGGAAGATAGTAATATGTAGTTCTTATTTGATTGTTCTTTTGGAGGATCGTTCGTTTCTTCAATTTTGTGCGGGACACTCTTTTTCTCTTCGTTTGGGTTGAAATCCTCATCAAGGTTTATTGAGCCTCATTATGCACCATATCCTCCTAGTTTGTCTGTTGTTTCTTCTTCGTTAAATATTGTTCATTTTCAATAATAAAAAAAAAGAAAGAAAAGTAATGAAAAATGTTTGAAAACTTTGAGTTTGAACGATAAAGACAAAATAAATGGTAAAATGAATAGTACAATGTTTGACTTTTTAGTGTAAAAATGTGATTTTTCGTTAAATGAACAGTACCGCGAACTTTTTGTTAAAACCATTAAAAAAAGGGTATTCAAGTTAGTCCAAGTTCAAGTAAAGGTTATGAATAAATAGGGTTAGTTGGTGAATGCTGGGGGCTCTTTTCTAGTGACTTAAAATAGAGTAGGGGTCTTCCCTTGGTCCTATTTATAATAGTGCATGCTGGTGGCTCGGCACTTTGCCCTTTAAGTACGTAAGCAAACTTTCCTCTTTTGGAACATGTGTTAGTGAAATGTAATTAGGATTTAATAATTTCCTTTCAACTCGAGTCTCTATTTCTTTTCTCCCAAGCCAACTACACTATTTTCCTTCAAGTTTCAATTGTAATTAGGATATAATCTTGGTATTAATTAATTTGAGGGAAAGGAGAGGGTTGACACTAATTCAGAGTTATGAAAAATTAATCCTCGTATATAAATTATCCATTTACGTTCTTATTTATAATTTCATATTGGTTTCACAACAATCCTTGTAGGAAATATGTGGAATTTGTAGGAATAGAGTAATGTGAAAATTTGGTTAGACATGCAAGTTTGGATGAAAAACCGACAAATTTATTATAAGAAGAAAATATTGAAAATTCTACAATGCGGGGGTACATTGGATTACATGATCTGCTGCTTTCGACTAAAATATTTCAAGCCAACATTAAGGGGGTGTATTCAATTGAGAATGTGAGAGATTTTAATGGATTTATAAATCCATGGATTTTTATGGAGTTTAATTGATTTGTAGAGATTCTATATAAATTTTGATTCAATTCCCTCGAAATCTCATGGGAAGAGGTGAGATTTGTGGATACTTAAAATACACTACGAAATCTCTCTAATTCCCTCTAATTCCTCAACTTTCTCAAATTCTTTAAAATCAATTTCTAATTGAATACACCTGGAATATTATAAACTTCTTTAAAATTTTAATTGAATACACCTGGATTTCTAAGGATTTTAATAAACTATCTTAAAATTCTAATTGAATACACCTAGAATTTCAGAGAATTATTTAAAATCTCAATTGAATACCCATAGATTCATTAAAAGAATTAAAATCCTTTAAAATCCCAATTGAATACACCCCCTAAGTATTCAGGGGCAAGACCCCGTTTAAAAAGTTCGCTCCAAGAAAAATGCCTCGCTCCGCCCACAAATTTCTCTGTATGCTTGGGGCATTGTAAATGAGACAAAGTCTCTAAAAGAGCTCGACATGGATTAAAACTAGAGCATCGCTGCGGGAGAGGTAGCTTGAACACGGATAACTTTCACATCGAGGATACTCAAGAGAAATAGTTATGGGCAATTGTAAGGCCTAAAACACCACCTCTCCGGAGTAATAATAGTGTACACTCACTCCCTGGGGGCTAGACCTGGTGTGAATAGAAGGTCAAGTCCTTCCCCACGGGGGATTGATCTAATCAGGTGGTTCCCGGTGTGATCGAAACAACCAATCTGCACTCCAGACAGATTGATCCACTTCGGAGCACGAACTTAACCAGTTGTCTCTACCAAGGTACATTACCCTCTTGCCCACGTGAAGAGGAGAGAAAAAGAAGAAAAGAGAGAGATTTGAAGTGAGGAGAGGAGGGAGTAAAAGAAAGAAGTGAGTTTAAGTTTAAAAACTCTTAAAAATTCACTTTTTATGTTTTTAGAGAATATACTATATTTTTTAGCTAGTCTTTAGTTCAGTTTTTTAAAATAGTCTTACCAAACAAGTTTTTAAGGCCTAAACATTAAAAATTGTCTTTGAGTTTAAAAATTGTCATCGAAAGAAATAGAACCCCAAATTGCTTCATCTTTATTAACCATTAATTTCTATTTCTATCACAAACTGACATGAAGTTTTCAGGTTATTCAATGGGTTCTCATATCGACGTGACAAATCTTGACAAATAAGAACACGCACGGACACGACTAGAACACGGCAATATAATAAATATGAAGTGGCCAACACAAGCATTACAAACCCCCATTGCCACCATATAAATATATCATAAACAATTCCACATTGTAATCAAAATATGCTTCATGCGTATCCCTATACGCATAATTAACAAAACTAGAACATGTTTTATATGCACACCTCACTCAAGCAATCGGGTATCTCCTCGGAGACGAAAGAAAATGCTCCGCGGGGTCACTTCGAAAGAGAGAGAAACTCAAGAGAGGAGGCGCCGCGGCGGATCAGAGAGAAAGAGGACTGACTGTGTCCAGACTCCGGGTCGTCAAATTTGGAAAGGATCATCTCTAGATACCTTCCACCTCATCATCCCATCAAATAATCCGGTCCCTTGAAATTTGATCAAACGGCTAAAGTTATTATAACTTTGAAAGTGGGCCCGTGTTTTTAGCAGTTGGATTAAATTTCAAGAACCCCAAATTGTTTGATGAGGAGAATTAGGTGGAAGGGATCCGGGGAGGATCCTTTCTGTCAAATTTTAGGTTTTACAAGTTTCCATACTTGCGAAACTGTCCCAAAATGTTTTTTACATTTACAAAAAGCCTCTGCCATGTCTTGCCCCGTCCAAACGTGGCAGGGGTGTGTCGATGTGTGAGGATGTTCGTGCAACATACCGTTTCAGACTCTTAAGCCGTAATTTCCCTCCGTACCTCCTATACTTCTTGATCGCACTTCCAAACCGAACTAAACTGAACTGAACTGAACGAATGAGTGTGTGTAATTTTTTATTCATTGTAATTTACCCTAATCTTTCTAAACCCTAGCTTCGAATTTCTGAACGAATGAGTGGATGCTTTCTATTTTGTTTCTCGGCAGCCAATCAACCTCACTTTCACAACCAATGCGCCCAAATTCCAATTTTTTGGTAACAATTGGGCAAAAATAAGCCCCCATTCAAGCCCGACTCTAAAGAATTCAGAAAATGATGATCAACCTATCTCAAGCCATCACTCATTTGTATTCTAATGTTTTCAATTAGTCCAAAAGAAAACCAAATACACACACAGAAACCTATATAAAACACCAACAGTCAGTAATTCAACAAAATGATGATCAACCCACTTCAGCATTCACGTGAATTCATGAAACCCAAGTCACTACATCTGACACACCTAACATCCCTCTTCCCAATCCACTATCCCGTCAGCTACAATCGACACCACCTCTAATTGACATCCCTCTTCCCAAGTCACCATCCCGTCGGCTATAAACGACGCCACATCTGACACACCTGACATCCCTCTTTCCTGTTCATCGTCTCGTCGGCTACTGACACCACCTCTGACCCACCTGACATTCCTTTTCCCAATCCATTTCCGCGTGCAAAACAAGTGGGAAAATTCCTGCCTAAATATTTCAAATTATTCAACACCGATGACCAATGTCGTCGGCTAAAAGCGACATGAAACTAGCTTTAAAAATAATAAAAAAGTTTAACCTTGAGAAAAAGAAACAGAAAAAGCAAGCGTGATTTTGTGAAGCCGACTAATTACACCGACAATTTGGAGCAGACAACTTAGCACTCACAAACAATGATTAAACCAAAAAGATCGAATATAAAGGTTGCAGCGAATGTGGATGGAGGGAAGATGTGAAGCGCAAACACAACGCCTTTTCAGGTTGGCGGGGGCATTTGTGGTCTTGAGACTTGGTCTCCATTGTGAATTCACGGCCCAGGATTATGGAATTACCTGGGTTGTGGCAAGGAGAGGGGGAGAGAGAGAGAGAGAGAGAGAGAGAGAGAGAGAGAGTAAAACTGATGATAAATCATTCCCATAGCATACCATAAAAGTAATTAAACATTTCTACCGTTCCAAACACACAAACAACGTTATAAAAATGCAGTCTCGAGTGTTAACTTTAGATGGTGTCATGTTACTTGAGATCAGAGGATAGATAGGCGTATATATAGTAATATCCAAAACACCTCAAATTAACAAAGCTAAAGCCGCACTAAGCTAGCTTTAGTTTAGATTCATAACAAAGTCCAGTACGAACGTTAATTTGTCAACTCATCATCTAACAAGACTCCTCCTCAAACTCTTAAAACTCACAAACAGCAAGCGAAAACCAAAACCCGAAAAATACAAGGCGAGAGCTTAAGCAGCATCAAATAAGCACCAAGAGCTAGTTCAAACAACTGTTCAATCACAATCGCTCCTTAAAAGGAAGGATATACCATCTCTAGCATAGTTCCTTTCTCCTCCTTTCTCCTCACCAAGGCACCCTAAAAGGGGAAAACAAAAAAGAAGGTTTCTAACATCTTAATAATTCGTTATTGGAAATTTTTTTAGCAAATGACTTTTAAAGCCAGTGCGACTCACCTCCAAGTATAATTGGATAACCAGCTGAGATAAATCGCTCTATTGTATTCTTCGATACCATGGCAAAGCCGCCTTGCCCCCATTCTCCTGCTGAGTTCTTGATTCTATAAAATTCTTCTCCTGTCTCTTGGTCTATGCCCCAACCTATGATGGTCACACAATGCGGACTGTTGGGCTTGCTAAAGTCGGTGTTGTAAATGCCTTCCTTGTACTTGTCCCACGATCCATCTTCATTTACGAACAAATCCACTACAACCGGTCGAGTTGTCAAAGCTCTAAAAAGGCTTTCCTCGTCCTCTATTACCTCATACGAGTCAATAAAAATACGTCTACCTATTCTCTCAATTTTATTTTCTTTGAATGCTGCCTCCTTTATCAAATCATCGCAGTAAGGGCAATCCTTCTCCAATAGAATGCCCTCATGCTCCATGTAAGAAAAAGCATCCTCAAAATAGCTATCGCCCCCGTACATTTTACCTTTGTAGTAACCGTATGGTTGGCTCACATTCATGGCCAAATCACGAGGAGAGAGTAAAACATTCTCCCCTGTAGCTAAAAAATGTGCAGCTTGGACTGTTTCTGCAACAGCAAATAAGGTGCACGTACCTGAGCAAAAAACAAAAAAGTAAATTAATTTAAACTAGACTTAGACCTATATCAGATTTGTCTCACTTAACACGTACTTTGTCTTACTTTACCCCTTAACACGTACTCTGTCTCCAAGTAAAGGTACATAACCCAGTTATAATTGGAGAATAAGGGCTCTTGATACTATCCTATTTGGATTGAGATTTCGTAGATTATATCCTTGTACAATAAGGAATCCTAGCGTATGAATATGGGAATGTACGCTAGGGTTGTAGTAGTATAAATTCCAAGGGAAGGTCCCTGCATACACCACCGATACACATACTTAGAGAACTCCCCATAAGTTTGAGTAATACAGTGGTGATGAGTATGCAGAAGATCAACCTTTGAAGTTCATAGTGTTCGAGAAGGAGCTTGCTACAACTGCAGTGCTTGGTGTGCTAAGGAAGATGTCTTCTCAAGGTTAGTTCAATGGTGTTTTATTATACATGAACATATAGGAGGCCATTGAGAGTCTTAATAATGCATATTGGCAAGAAGTTCAGATGATTTCCTTGTGTGTTTGCAAGAGGCCGAGTTCAGTAGTCAAGAAGAAGATCCATTAAACTTCAAGAAGGCAATTGAGAGTCTCAATAATGCACATTGGCAAGAAGCTATGCAATCAGAATTGGATTCCATGAATAAGAACAAAGTGTGGGAGTTGGTTGAGCTACCACAAGGATGTAAACCAATAGGCTGCAAGTGGGATTACAAGACTAAGAGAGACTCCAAGGGTGATGTAGCTAAGGGTTATACTCAGCAAGAAGGAGTTGATTACAATGAAACATTCTCTCCAGTCTCTACAAAAGACTCTTTTAGAGTGATCGTGGCACTAGTGGCTCACTTCGATCTACTCCTGCATCAAATGGACGTTAAGACTGCATTCTTGAATGGAAATCTTGAGGAAGAGATCTACATGAAGCAACCAGAGGGTTTCATTCAAGAAGGGAGAGAGAATTTGGTCTGTAAACTTAACAAGTCCATTTATGGATTGAAACAGGCCTCGAGACAGTGGTATTTGAAGTTTGATGAGGTTGGTTCATCACATGGTTTCGAAGAGAGCCCTAGTGATGAGTGTGTTTACATGAAAAGGAATGGTAACTGTTTTATTTTTCTCATTCTTTACGTAGATGACATATTACTAGCATGCAATAATGCATCATTGTTGAGTGACACCAAGAAATTTGTGTCCAAACGCTTTGACATGAAGGATATGGGAGAGGCATCTTTTGTTCTTGGTATTCAGATCACAAGAGATCGAAGTAGATGACTACTTGGTATATCACAGAAAGCATACATTGAAAAGGTACTTAAAAGGTTCAATGTGGAAGACTTGAATGGCTGTGATGTTCCCATGACAAAGGGAGAAAAACTCAGTAAGGATCAGTGCCCTAAGACTGAGTTTGAGAAGAAAGAAATGGCTAGCAAGCCTTATGCTTCTCTCGTTGGGAGTCTCATGTATGCACAGGTATGTACCAGACCTGATATTGCATATGCTATTAGCATATTGGGAAGGTTTCAGTCTAACCATGGCAATGCACACTGGATAGCTGCCAAGAAAGTTTTGATATACTTGCAGAGAACAAAAGAGTATCAGCTAGTGTACAAGAGGGATTCAAAACTCGAACTAGTAGGCTACAGTGACTCAGACTTTGCAGGCTGCCTTGATTCACTTAAATCAACTTCAGGTTATATATTCACGTTGGCAAATGGGGTAGTGTCATGGAAGAGCGTGAAACAAGATACTGTTGCCACTTCTACCATGCAAGCTGAGTTTGTAGCTTGTTATTAAACTACATCACAAGCCATATGGTTGAGAAACTTCATCAGCAGTCTCGAGATCATGAATTCTATAGCAAAGCCTGTTCAAATTTGGTGTGATAACAAAGCTGCTGTCTTTTATTCTAAGAATAATAAAAGGTCTCCTGGAACAAAGCACTTGAACACCAAATATGCGTTGACAAGGAAGAAAGTAAAGTTTGGAGAGATCAAGGTTGATTACATTGACGCTCATGCCATGCTTGCTGATCCACTCACTAAGGTAGTACCAAATGCAGTTTTTCATAAGCATGCAGTCAATATGGGAGTGATTGCAACCCTAGATTTGTTGAACTAGTGGGAGTAATGATAGTATGTAGTTTAATTATGCATGTTAGTTATTATCATGACAGTGAGTATTGAGTTTTGGTTTTATGTTTAGCTAGTCGCTGCACTTGGTTGAATTGAATGTTTAATAAAGGGATGCTAGTTCAGTAGTTCATACATTGTTTCAATATAGCTCTAGTTCATATTTTCTGTTGCAAATAGAGGTTGCTGAAAGATTTTAAGCAACTGATGTGTATTATGATGAGACAATGTAGCAGCAAAAGGTTATTGGCTGCAGTTAGATGTGCCGTGAGATTGATTGGCATATGAACTGAGTTTTTTCACGAAAATATATGTGAGCTATTCTCATAGCTTGAAAGCTTCATAGGAAGCATTAAGCAGTCATATAAAAGGCTGATTAAGAGGACCTGGAAGTGATGGGGTCGATGCTTTCGACTCATGGTTTTGTGGCTCACTTATGTACCAAGTCTGTGATTGATTATTTCATGTAAGTGAGGATCGTGTTCAGTGATTATAAGAGCTCATGAACACTTATGTAAGTTCATAGTCTCCGATAGTTCTGAATGAGTAATCTTTACTTGACAAAAGTATGCAAGAAGCTTATTAGCTTAACTGAATCCATTGGCCAATAAAGAATCATGCTTACAGATTCATTAAAGTTCTTTCTTGAATTAACTAATTGACCTAGTGGGACAATGTTGGATGTTAGACACTAATCCAACGACTAAAAGGTCAATATAGTTAATAAGGATTGATGTGGAATGTAAGTGTGAGTAGGGTTTAGTCATAAGCTATAACTTGGACTCCAAGTAAAGGTATATAACCCAGCTATAATTGGAGAATAAGGGCGCTTGATACTATCCTATTTGGATTGAGATTTGGTAGATTATATCCTTGTACAATAAGGAATCCCAGCGTATGATTATGGGAATGTACGCTGGGGTTGTAGTAGCATACACCACCGATACACATACTTCAAGAACTCCCCATAAGTTCGAGTAATACAGTGGTGGTGTGTGTGCAGAAGATCGACCCTTGAAGTTCATAGTGTTCGAGAAGGAGCTTGCTGCAACTGCAGTGCTTGGTGTGCTAAGGAAGATGTCTTCTCAAGGTTAGTTCAATGGTGTTTTATTATACATGAACGTATAAGACTAACAGACATTGCCAGTGGGAGAGACGACTCCCAGCTCATTTAAGGAGAAGGAAAGAATCCTAGCCACATCATCCGCAACTTAAAGGAAGAATTGGCAGATTTTGGTGGTAGGGGAATTTTAAAACATGGAGACGAGTTTTGAGTGAAAGTTACAAGGGTAAAGTGAGACATGTGCAATAGTTCAGGGCGAAAAGTTCAAATTGAGTATTTATACCAAAACTAAAAGGTACTTACTTTCAAGGCCTTGATCGCGAACTAGTGGGTTTATAACCCCAGGTACTTTGTGCCAATCGAAAGGTTCTGATTAACCAAAAGGAAAACTGTACGTTACAATTCAATAGAATGTGAAGTTTGTCCATATTCAAATTAAGTAAAAAACACTTACCCCAATCAGCTTTACTGTGAACAACTGGGCTTACATACCCACGCGCGCGCCAATGAAAAGGCTTGAAAGGCATGCTATTAATGGATGGACGATGCCGAAAAACACCCGCCATCAATGAAAAGAACCTCATGTTGCTGCTGCAAATAAAGTAAAGTAGGATTGGCCGGTCATAACGGTAACAAGGCAATCAAAGAGGCATATAACACACAAAATATAGCAACAGAATGAACCAAACATTTATGGTGGCGGAGCAAAAATATCAGGGTTGTATGTGGCTCTGTTACGCGGAGAGCAGACACTATACAATGCTCTCTCTGGTATAAAGGAACAAAGCATGGCCTAAAGTTGAGCAACTTGACAAACTAAAAACCATAGGGGGAAGGTGTTTCCCCTCCATCATAAGGCTCTGAGGACTCTAAGGTAAGTGATGGATATGATGGATCAGTATTTTCTTCAATTGAAGAATATGCAACAGTCCTGAATCATGATGGTCAAACATGTACAGATATGATATTCATGCCAGCCAGAGCCACACACTGTCAATCCATTAAAACAGGTTGTAAACAAAAAGTAAAACACTGTTGGTGTTGAGGCGCAGATTTGGAAAAGATAAAAGGGAAAGCAGTATTGATGTTTCTTAAGTATCTTATACATGAGTTTTGAGCTATGTTACCATGGAAGGGTTTATTTTGCGGCATTAGTAACAATGGATCATCCGCAAGATCATCAAAATTCTCGTTTCCATTTTTCGAGTTCATCCTCTAAAGTTCACTAGACTGAATCTACCAGTAAGTTTGGTAGATTCAAACCCACGTACGATCACCATGTCTTATAGATTTTGACAAAGACCTGTTTGTTGTCATAGATGATCACTCCTTGCCATCAAGCATCATTAATTTGTGATCACAAATATATACTAAAACTGTGTCATCTATTATCAACAACCAACAAGAGTTGTTTTCTTTTCTATAACTATATATTGGTATCACGAGATTCGATTCGAAACAAGTAGAATATCATTACATCTAACAACAACATTAAGCTATTGTAAGAAAGAGATTCCTGTTCAAACACTTGTAGATATAATTTTTGTCCCAGTTTCAAGCATAATTGTTTTTGAGTTTAAAAAGTTGAATTCAAGTAGAGTACCAAACAAGCCCTTAATTTCTACAGATTTTACAGTTTTACAGTTTGCATGCACAGATTCATATACAGATTTTACAGTTTGCACAACACATCCAAACATTACAAAGTCCAACATTCAAATACAGATTTTAAGGAATGTTGAAACATCTCAAGAATTAATGCACTGCAACCAAGGCCCAGCATCAGCAAGCTTGACCTGACCTTTGCCACAATATGAAGAATGGAAACTGCCTTTCTATAAAAGGGACTGGAAACATACGACAGTTTCTCAAAAGCAGCCTACCGTGACCGTTTCTAGGGAGACTGTTTTCACAACTTGAACCCGACAACCACTAGGTTGCTTGGGGCAAAGCCAAATTGCTGCTCTAAGATAAGCACTCAATGAAGGTGAGTCTAATAACCCAAAATATGTAGGGCCTTGTGAAGCTAAAGAGACTAAAAAGAAAAACCACAGAACACAGATAATCTAAGTATGATTTTATGTAGGCATCACGCAGATTATCAAATCTGAATAGATTATCAAATCTAAGTGTATATAAATCATTAATTTACTTATTATGAATTTGCGTAAGGTCATAGAAGGCTAAACAACTTACACCCCCACGCATGCACACACACGCAACGTCTTTTAACAAGCAACAGTATACATTCATTATCTTTTGATAAGCAACAACAATGTGAATCAAACATTCAAATAGGAAAAAGCATAGGCAACAAGAAATTGGGAAATAAAAGTCATCTGTTCATTTAAAAACACAATAGTGACTGGAGCAAACAAACATCAACAAGAAACCGAAACCATATTAAAAGGCCAATTTTTTGGTAAAAATTGGCAAAAATAAGCCCCCATTCAAGCCCGACTCTAAAGAATTCAGAAAATGATGATCAACCCATCCCAAGCCATCACTCATTTGTATTCTAATGTTTTCAATTAGTCCAAAAGAAAACCAAATACTCACACAGAAACCTATATAAAACACCAACAGTCAGTAATTCAACAAAATGATGATCAACCCACTTCAGCATTCACGTGAATTCATGAAACCCAATAAAGAAAATTAGCTCAGTAAACATGTATATGAACATATGTGTGTATCTATCTGTGTGTGTTGTCTAAGCAACAGAATACAACAGAGAGAGAGGGATTACCTCTTCAACTTCAAATCTTCAAGCTTCCTCTTCTCCCCCCAGCTCTCCGCTTTACAGACTCACAGCAAGTCCAGAAAAGGAAAAGTGTTTCGACCAGTATAAAACGAGTGGGGAAGGAATGGGTTTTTAAACAAGCAAAGTGAACCGGCTCGGTTCCCTTTGATTCAATTCGGTTCAATTCTTCAGCTGAAAAAAAGAAACCGTTTCTCTCAAGTATTTTCTCTCTAATACCAGCATTCGTCCTTTAATTTAAAATTTTGTAGTTTAATGTTGACTATCCTATCGGTGTTGAAATGATCAAAATAGAATATCAATGACACAACAATGATATAACAACAACATGCTAAAAACAAATTCTGTTTCGCAAACAAATGTTGAAAAAAAAATAAAAATTAACGAGTTGGGAAGGAATGGGTTTTTAAACCAGCAAGTGAACCGTTTTCGATTTGGTTCGGTTCAGTTCAATTCTTCAACTGAAAAAAGAAAAAAACGTTTCTCTTAAGTATTTTCTTTCTATAATCAGCTTGCTTGTAGTTTAGTTGGTTGACAACAATCAATAGGATGCGTTTAGGATTAAACAGTAGGAGTCTGTTACAATTAAACAGTGAGCAGATTATACTTACGTAGTTTATAAGGGCATGCAAGTTAGCTGTTCAACTAATGAGATGTAGTCATTGTCGGGTGAGAGCGTCAGAGCATGATTATAAAAATAAAAAAATCAGAGCATAAATGAAGGTATCATATCATACACTTCATCTAAGCGGCCAGCAGCTCCACGAGCATTGAGTAGACATATGTAGGTTTGTGCCGTTGGCTTCACTTCATATTTCTTTCAAAACCTTCGAATTTAAATGAACAAGAAAAGAAAAAAAAATGTGCATCAGATATATCCAATTATGTTGCACATGATCTGACTGGAATATTGGTGTCCAGATATGGATGGTGAACCGTACCAGAGCTGCCCGATCAGATGACTTGCATTTCCCATATAGGGAGATGAGAAAGTTGTAAATATGAACCTATGGCATAAAAGAATTTGCATCAACATTGGTTAAAAGTAAAATTGAAAAGCATGAGTAAAATTATGGCATAAACAAAAGAAGAAATTATGTACATCAGGGGTCAAGCCCATAAGTTTCATTTGTTCAAGGAAGTACAAAGCATCTTGAATGCGACTGCCTTTCATGGCCCCTAATATGAGCCAGTGGAAGGTATGCCTCGTTGGTTGGACTCCATCAAGCATCATGTCACCATACACATCTTTCAACATGAAATCTCTTTTCTCAACAATGAGAGAACGAATAACATCGTTGTACTCCGACACGTTGTTAGCATAGTTCCTGTCAGTGTATTCTCCTCCTGTGGAGGCAGCAGCGAGATAGCGCTGCCCCAGGACTCGCAGGACCAACCTATGCTGACCTGCACAATTCAGTAACGTTTTTGTTTATCCATTTAGAAGACAATTTAAATGACTAAAAGTAGAGCTTGTTAACTATGAAGCATAAGAGTGAAGCAGTACGAGTAAGGGATTGGAGGAGCCTCATGATCGCTGTCTTCTTGACTCTGTGCTTGTGTGTGAGAGAGAAAGAGATCCTTCTTTCTAATTACACCTCCGAACAGGACGTCACTATTATCTTGGACTTCACTTGACTGGTTTCAAAGTCGTATCAGTTTTCTGTAGCGTGGGACTAGTATCTGCACTGGAGGATAGCGATGATATGACAAATCAAAGGAAAGCAGGCACAAAGATGCGAGACAAAAAAGAGAGTTCAAAATGCATCTTTGAATCACCGAATGTACCGCTCCTGACTATCAGATTGACATTTAAACCTCTTTGAGATATATGTCTCTGTTGTGTGCAATATCAAGTGACGTTCATGGTTATCTCTCCCTTTATTTGATCACAGTGAAAAACAATTATTTCGGATTCACACAAAACCTTAAACAAGTAATTTTTTCCCTTCCGCTCTGTAATGTCTACTATCGCATCAAGCGAGCTGGTATTAGACAATTCCTGAAAACCATCATTGATAATGAAAATGGATGGGTAGAAATTATTTGAAAGAATATTCTATTTTTCTTTTCCAAACGATGCGATAGTAGACATTACAGAGCGGAAGGGAAAAGATTACTTGTTTAAGGTTTTGTGTGAATCCGAAATAATTGTTTTTCACTGTGATCAAATAAAGGGAGAGATAACCATGAACGTCACTTGATATTGCACACAACAGAGACATATATCTCAAAGAGGTTTAAATGTCAATCTGATAGTCAGGAGCGGTACATTCGGTGATTCAAAGACGCATTTTGAACTCTCTTTTTTGTCTCGCATCTTTGTGCCTGCTTTCCTTTGATTTGTCATACCATCGCCATCCTCCAGTGCAGATACTAGTCCCACGCTACAGGAAAACTGATACGACTTTGAAAACAGTCAAGTGAAGTCCAAGATAATAGTGACGTCCTGTTCGGAGGTGTAATTAGAAAGAAGGATCTCTTTCTCTCTCACACACAAGCACAGAGTCAAGAAGACAGCGATCATGAGGCTCCTCCAATCCCTTACTCATACTGCTTCACTCTTATGCCTGCGAGTCCTGGGGCAGCGCTATCTCGCTGCCGCCTCCACAGGAGGAGAATACACTGACAAGAACTATGCCAACAACGTGTCGGAGTACAACGATGTTATTCGTTCTCTCATCGTTGAGAAAAGAGATTTCATGTAGAAAGATGTGTATGGTGACATGATGCTTGATGGAGTCCAACCAACGAGGCATACCTTCCACTGGCTCATATTAGGGGCCATGAAAGGCAGTTGCATTCAAGATGCTTTGTACTTCCTTGAACAAATGAAACTTATGGGCTTGACCCCTGATGTACATAATTTCTTCTTTTGTTTATGCCATAATTTTACTCATGCTTTTATGCCAATGTTGATGCAAATCCTTTTATCCCATTGAATAACCTGAAAACTTCATTGCCCATCGCACTTCCTGTTTCACTGCCCTGGCATTATCAGCAGGATCTGCATATGTTTGACAATATTTTTCTGCGTAGTACGTTGCAAATGATATAAATTCTTCCAGCGTCACATCCTTCTTGCCCTTGTTTCTTCTTCTAGCAGCAGCAGTGGCAGGAGTAGCAGCACCACACCGATGACAACGCCCAGCCTTCCACCTCGCAGCAGCAAATAGTATCGGCAATCCCTTTTTCTTACGGTCAACTTCTTCCCATTTTAGTGTACAACATTTGGGGCAACCCTGAACACATATAGAGACTCGTGGTTAATTGCGTAGATTTGGTGCCCTAATATGGCAGAAGAACACAGTTCATTAAATAAAATCTGAATAGGAAATGTGGATAATCAAACTGCTAACAGTTACAAACTTAGCCCATTTTTTGCCTGAATAATCCTTAATGTAGAAATCCTGATTATATAATTAATGAGATATGATATTCTTACTTCGTAGGGGACGCCATGGGTAAAGAGACCTTCTCTAGGTAGAGTGTATCTGTGGAAGAGCCAGGTCGGATGTCACATGGTCTGAGACCAAACCATTCATCAGACGGTTCACGTCCATACCTCGTTTCCTTCTTGAGTACAGGTTTGAGAATGCGTTGCCTCCCTTTTCCGAGTATACGATCGGCCCCAGGGCCAGTGCGGTAACCAGTTCGGGAAACTGTGCCTGTCGTAGGCTCACGAGGCAGTGAATTAAACAGAACGTCTGCTTGTGCTTGGACATTATTGTGGTCTTTGTTGTCGCTAGAAGTTGCATCAACATTAGTAGCAGCTATGCTCCCAAAAGTTCTGTTGATACCCTGAATACTTTTCTCATTAATATTCCCAGTCTTTCGAAGCATACAACGAATGGAAGCAGCCATTGCCATTGCCCTGCCTCCATTTAAGAAAAAGGAGTTGAGTCCCAGAAAAATAGTAAAATTCAATCATTTAGTTATCGATCACCGAAAGAAATAGAACCCCAAATTGCTTCATCTTATTAACCATTCATTTCTATTTCCATCACAAACTGACATGAAGTTTCCAGGTTATTCAACGGGTTCTCATATCTACACAGTACACAAAATATGATCATATGAGTAACCTATGTACCGAAACGAATACGGCAACACGCTCGACATGACAAATCTCGACAAATAAGAACACGCACGGACACAACTAGAACACGGCAATATAATAAATATAAAGTGGCCAACACAAGCATTACAAACCCCCATTGCCACCATATAAATATATCACAAACAATTCCACATTGTAATCAAAATATGCTTCATGCGTATCCCTATATGCATAATTAACACAACTATAAAATGTTTTATATGCACACTCACTCAAGCAATCGGGTATCTCCTCGGAGACGAAAGAAAATGCTCCGCGGGGTCACTTCGAAAGAGAGAGAGAAACTCAAGAGAGGAGGCGCCGCGGCAGATCAGAGAGAAAGGGGACTGACGGTGTCCAGACTCCAGGTCGTCAAATTTTAGGTTTTACAAGTTTCGATACTTACAAAACTGTCCCAAAATGTTTTTTTATATTTACAAAAAGCCTCTGCCGTGTCTTGCCCCGTCCGAACCGTTGATTATGTCCAAACGTGGCTAGGGCGTGTCGATGTGTGACTCAAGGTTCTAAATGGCGCTAGGCACTAGTGGGGTAGCGGGCTGAAACTTGGTGCCTAGGCGATTGGGCGGCGTCTAGGCGGACTTCTAGACGGATTAGACGGATTTAAGTAAATCTATTATATTTTGTGTAAATAAATGTTTTTCTACATAAAATATATGTAATTACATTATAAACTACAAAATAGAATGACATATTTATTATGAAGTATTGGAATAAAATGAAAAACATGGGGAACAAGCATATAATGTGTGTTCATTTAAGTATTCAAAAAGTCTCTTACAATTTACTGGAAAAAAAATGCAAAATAAAAGTTATCTATTTTCTGTCTATGTAAGTCACAACCTAGGCAGGTCTGGGTGGGCCAGGCGGGTGCCTACGCGGTTTAGGCCAGCATCTCAGCAAGTTTAGGCGCTCTTCCTTAATTTTCAAACGCCTAGGCATTAATCGAGTCTGTGGTCAACCGCCTAGCGCCTAGGCGAGGATTTTTAGAATAGTGTGTGTGAGGATGTCCGTGCAACATACCGTTTCAGACTCTTGAGCTGTAATTTCCCTCCATACCTACTATACTTCTAAACCAAACTACACTACTACAAAATTACCTATAACTAGAGGTCCAAAAACCGACAAGAAAACATAATTTATGTCGGATATTAGGTAAAAATCTGACATAAACTCATGCAACGTCGGATAAAAGAACCGACACCATTGCTAGCGTCACGAAAAGGCTTTTGATGTCGGTTAATCCCCTTAATTCGCCACGAAGAAGGAAAGCAATATAAAAAAAGGATAGTAGTGTCGAATAAAAGTGACATTGAAGTTCACGTCGGATACATGTGACATTAAGTACTGAGAAAGACTGTCGGATATAGCAGACTAGTGTCAGTCCTAATCGACACCACCTAACAATTCAATAAATAAAATAACAACTATAATGTCGCCCATAAGTGACACCACAAACCATTAATCATAAAAAAATAAAAAAAAGTCTATCTTAGTTTTTAATTAATAATAATTAAAAAAATTACAAGAAAATAATCACACCATATTTAATGTATAGGCCAAAACACAATAATAACTATTAACAATAACAATAGTACCAAACACTAACAATTATCCACCATAACAAACATTTCATATCCGCCACTACACATATAATATACAAAAAATCATCCGCTATAACAAACATTATAAATTAGCCATAACAAATACTAAATCCGACATTACATATATAACATACAAAGAAAAGAGATAGGAACTATATATGTTGGCCAAAGTGTCACATCCCGATCCAAACATACTTCCAGGATTAACGCGTGACGTCACCAAATACCCGTACATCTATCATACCCCGCCTCCGGGATATGGGCCAAACACAACTCACGATCCAAAAGCGTAGTAATTTTTCGTATACTTTATGGATGCATCTAACCTCCTCGTTAAACTGTCTACGTACCTTAAAAAGGGATCAAGCCATTCGTAGTTCGTCATTCACTACAATTCGACATATATCACAGTCTGTTCAAGCCGAAAGACATAACATTCCTCAATCAATTATTAGAACTTGGCAAGCATGAAATTACTAGACTCAGGGCTACATAACAACCCACATGACAATCAATATTTCCAATTCATCCATCATATAAATCACTATGTTTCACATAATGCCGCAATTCATAGTAAGCAACATCTTAAAGAACAGTCAACGAAGCACAATGTTATACTCCAGCCACATTGGTCAACGAGTCTAATCATAATAATAACAATCATATCCAACATCATTCCATCATCACTCCAATTAATCAGTCCTAAGAATCAAAGATGCACTATATTAACATTTAACTACATTAATCAATCGGTAAGATCGCATTTCAATGCACGAAATTTAATAAAGGAATTCTACATTATTCCCTACCTAGATTCCAAGTAATAACATGATAATTATAATTTATAAACATAACGTCTACTGGGAGCAATTCCTACTCACTCGAATCTAGGGTCGAACTAACTTTATGGAAATGAGCAAGAGTAGGGATTCCGGACCACTCAACAGAATCCAACCAAAATATGATCGCCTATCAAAATGTACCAAGTACAACTAATCCTCATCACCCCTATAATGCGTACGGTCCCCCATCGCGGATATACCAAGCAGAACCATAGGCATAATCTCATCATGCAGACAGTGATCACTCATCGCGGATATACCAAGCATGATCACCCCTGAATACGTATGGTCCCCCATCGCAAATATACCAACCAGGACCATATCCTAACTCTAGGTAGTGATCACCCATCGTGGATATACCAAGCATGATCACCCCTAACAGTCACCTAACGTGGATATACCAAGCAGGACTGTATCTTATAGCTCTGGGTAGTGATCACCTAACGCAGATATACGCATGACCACTCCTAGAATGTGTATGGTCCCTCAACGCGGATATACCAAGCAGGACCATCCATGTACCACTACTACATGGTGCAGTAAATTCAACACACAACCTACCCACACCTCAACCCCTATAGGTTACAACGTAGTCACCTACACCATCAACTTCTCATGGTCACCAACTAATATGCACACAAGCATATAAGTTCTACAGAATACGTTTAATAGGATTCTAGGATCACATTGTCATAACATTTATCATACTTATCATTCACATTATTAAGAAGATAAATATACACATATATATCACAATATGATGTCCCATACATGTAAACTGATGTATACATTATCTGGGATAACTCACTAACCAATACAGGCCCACTAAACCCTACATAGTCTCTAGTAATATTGATTTTAATATTTAAGATCAATTCGTAGCATATTGACCAAAAGTAAGCAGTAATTAGATTAATACATATAAGGTTTCTCATAACCCCCTACCTTGAATTCAATTAATTTTGTTCCTTTGAAGAACCTAATCGGAACACAAAAGTACAATCAAAAGTATAAATACAAGTAACACACATTAATAACCAAACTAAGTGTTTAATCACAAAATTAATATTATCTAAAGAAAGTACACTGATTCTGGAATCCTACAACTCAAATAATATCACTCAAATAGTAGTAAAGAAGATTAGAAATGAATCTGGAAAAGAAAATCGGTGTGGTAAAAACAGTACTCTGCTTCTCCACAAAATCTGCAGAAAAACAGCACTATTGGACCAAGTTTAGGCTCCTTTTGGAACATTTAAAACTAAACCAAATCGTGTAATATTATATGGGTTTTGAAGCTTGTGTTCTTTACTTTAAAAGCATATAAAGTTTGTAGAAAATGGAGCTCTAAATTGGAAGTTATGCCAAAAGAAAATTGGAGTCTTGAAACTGGAAACTCAGTTTTCTGCTGCTGTTTGGCAGCTCGCGACCCAAGTTTAAATAAGGTTTTGATCATCCAAAACTCAACGGAACTGAGTGAAAACAATTGGGTTACGATCATGAACATATGTACTTTCAACACACTAAAAAATTTCTCCAAATGAGCACCTAAAGACCTAGAAATTAAGAGCCAAAGAAGGCTACTCGAAACTTGAGTTTTCTTTGCAAAGAAATCAATTTTCTGCAACTTACGTAACAGCCCACTTCCAATTCATATAACAAATCCCAAAATACTTCCAGGTAGTCCAAAAGTCATGTATACAGCATCCAAAACTAACATGACTAAAAATTAACAAGAAATTGACCTTTTGAACCAAACCCTTGATCAAGAAATTTGATCTACACACCCAATCCAAATTACCCAACTCTAATTCATGTTTAGATTGATTTATTGAATAATAGAAAACCCTAAATAAAACTAAGAACTCTAAACATATCATGGCAGTTTCAATTCAACTTAAGGAAATTAAATTCGAAAATCAAGATAATCAAGGAACAAGGAATTTACCCTTCAAATCTCTGAATCCTTCCTTCACAATCACGTTCTCTAACTCTCAATTTTTCTGCCAAACACTCTTTCTCCGATTTTTGTCTGAAGAAAGAAGAATTTTCTTCCAAAAGCTATGGAAGAGCCACCTCCTCCCCGTTTCTTTGCTTCCCTCGCCCAGAAAAGAATAACATAAAAGAACGTTCCTCTCTTTTTTTCTCTTCCTTCCATCATAGCCACACATGTGGCTTCATCCCAGCCGTTCCTGCTCCAACAAATCTGAAGCCTTCCAGATTAATAATTAAAGGACCATTTTTGCCCTCAACTTCAATCGTTTATAACTCCTTCATTATAACTCCAAATTACAATTCGTTTGCGCTCACGCGTTCGTATCAACACATATTATCCAAATATGTAAAGAAATCTGGAAAATCATGAAAGGATCAAATACGTCCACAAAAATTCCGTTTAGTTCATTAAGGGCGTTTTTGTCATTTCACTTATCGAAAAAATTATACACTGTAAATATAAACGCATCGAACTACAAATAAGAATATGAAATATGAAATACGTAATTTTAAATAGTGAAATCCGGGGACGAGATTTCACACAAAGTGTCATACATATCATCCAAGAAAGCGAACCAAATAAACTACTCAAAAGAACCAGAGCCTAAATGTGCCCTAGATCCTTCTTGAGATCCTCATTGTGATCTGAAAGCCCTCGTCAATTCCACATCAAATGCAGCACCAGCGAGCAATCCAGCAAACCCACCAGTTGGAACACCAGGGGAAAATCCACAATGGGAACACATGCAGAGATATGTGAGTCACCAGGATAAGGCATCTCTGGTCGATATACTGGCATTTGATATAGTGGTTGTTGCATGTATGACATGGGTGGTTGTTGCATGTATGACATGGGCTGCGTAGGCGTCAGATACATAGGATATAAAGGAGGTTGTTGATTCTGTCCTGTATACGGATATGCAAGAGGATGAGGCTGACTCTGGCATGCTGGGTTCCCAGGCTATGTGGTGGTTGTTGCTGAAATTGATGCATCAACATCATTATAAACTGATGCTGCTGATCAAACATATGCGATTGCCTGTTCTCTAATTGTTGAACCTTAGCCTCTACCTCCACCAACCGTTTAGCATTATATTCGTCCCTCATTCTCAATTCATTGTTTTCAGCCATCAGCAGTGCCACTGAACTCCTAGATGATCTCTTGGATGAATAGAAGTGTAAGCTGAAGAAGATGCATACGACACCATATTAGGAATCACCCCATGACCAAAACCTCGGACCTTATTCCTACTCTCAGGACCTATTATCTCGACATAAAGTGTTCTAAGTTCATCATTGTCTTCTTGGCCATACTCAATCAGAGATTGAATATTGCTATCCATGGTTGCTGACACGCCCCGATCCCGATGTCCTCGGGACATCAGGATGGTCACGTACTGGCCGACACCCGAGGGTGACGAAAGCTATTTATTGAATGCAAATGCCTAGAACAAGGAATAAATAAGACTTATAAATTTAAATATAATTAAATGTAAATGAGGAATGTGTTTAGAGCATACAACTAACTAAAATACTAAAATACTAAAAATAAATAATATAAAATTGAATGAATAAAATGATGGGTCTTACACCGAGAGAACTCAAGATGCCGATGCGGAAGTGCCTGGACGCCGGGATTGTATGCCTCAATTCTAAGTCCTGAAGGGAGCGCAAAACAAATATGAGTGGACCAAGTTCATATATATATAATAAAACAGTTATCAACATACTAACCCCCAGGTTTTATGAAAACACATATATCATGATAAAAATAGGTTTTCCGAAACCTAGCATGTCGTGCAATTTCTCAAATTATAACTCATATATATAATAATCACTAATGAATGTCCAATATCCTCCTGGCCCCATGCTAGCTCCCCGTCTCTATGCCAAATGCCAGAGGAAAACTACCTCAGGCCCCGTGCCAACTCCACGTGCCTGTGCTAATTGCTGGAGGAAAAACACTTCAGGCCCTATGCCAACACCATAACCGTCCCCCCAGGGCGGACCGAAATCTATCCCTCGTCCCGTAGCGGAATTGGGACCACTAGGTAAGTACAAAACCATTGAACATACATATATTTGAAAAGCAACTTCATAGTATAAAGTCATCCATCATCTATACTATAAAGAGGTGTTCTAAACGTATTCTAAATATTATATCGTCATCCATCAGATATTCTATAAGAACACGGGTTATAGGAAAAATAGTATTAATTCAAACTAGTATCAATAAGCATGTTATCTCATAAAATGTAATTATTAAATCATGCTTTCATGTATGCATTTCTACTATTAAAACATGCATTTTTAGAAGGGGTCCACTCACAGATACTTAGCCGTCGAAGAGCCATGCAAACTAGCGAAGACAAAATGCCACAATAAATTGTCCCTAAGCACATAAAGGGTACAATTAATAAAACTCTATTATAACAATTGAATTTGGGAAAACGGACGTCGGAAACAAATTTAGGACGTCGAATGACCTAAGAAGGGTCCCAGATAAATTTCGTAAACGTCAATATAATATTCCAGAGAATATTCCCTGACGGAATATTCTCTAATGGAATATTCCGTTAGATATTCCACATAAAGGGTTTGGACTGGCTAGGGTTTAGGGTTTGATAAGGACTTGGGCTAGGGTTAAAGCTTAGGTTGATGGGTTAGGGCTTAAAGGGGTTTTGGGTCCAATGGGATTTTGAGTCTAAAGCGTATTAGGCTTGAAAGCCCGGCCCAATGCCTTTGGGTTAGAAAAATAATTAAATAAAATGAAATGAAAAAAAAAAGGGTTTTGTGCTTCTGACAAAGGCCCAAGGCCTAAGGTTTCTGGGCTGAACCAAAGTGTTTTGGGCTTGGGTAAAATGGCTGGGTAACCCAGCCAAAGGCCTGGGTTGAGGGTGGTTTTCAGGCCACCCTTTGGCCGGTTTGGTGGTTGATTTTTCAAGGCTCATAACTTATTTGTTACTCAACGAAATTGAGTGAAACAAAAATTAAAGTTGTAGTACACGACGAGACGAAGAGATTGATACCCTGCACGTTGGCCAACTCGTCTTGGTTTGGCTGAAAAACGCCTCAAAAGGGGTCCCAACTCGGGCTCCACCACATCCCGGGCTTGACTCCGCCGTGACACGATATTGTCCGCTTTGGGCCCCGGCAACGCCCTCACGGTTTTGTTTCTGGGAACTCACACGAGAACTTCCCAGTGGGTCACCCATCATAGGAATGCTCTCGCCCGAACTTGCTTAACTTCAGAATTCCGATGGAACCCGAAGCCAGTGAGCTCCGAAAAGGCCTCGTGCTATTTGAAGGTGGACATGTACATATAAGGCTTAGAGGATCATCACCCCTGGGCGATGTGGGATCTTATAGTTGCCTTTCAATACAATATTTAAAAATAAAAATTAATAATCATAAAAATAAACCGATAGATATTAAAAGTTAATATGTCACATCCCAGCCTGGGGTCCACCACATCCCGGGCTCGACTCCACCGTAGCACGATATTGTCCGCTTTGGGCCTCTACCACGCCATCACGGTTTTGTTTCTGGGAACTCACATGAGAACTTTCCAGTGGGTCACCCATCCTAGGATTGCTATCGCGCGAACTCGCTTAACTTCGGAGTTCCGATGAAACCTGAAGCTAGTGAGCTCCCAAAAGGCCTCGTGCTAGGTAAGGATGAGAATATACATATAAGGATCACTCCCCTGGGCGATGTGGGATCTTACAATCCACCCCCCTTAGGGCTCGACGTCCTCGTCGGTACACACGAGGCCAGGGTTAGACTCTGATACCAAATTGTCATATCCCTACCTGGGGTGCACTGAGATATTTCATCAATCCAAGTTCTATCTTTTCGTGTATGACAAACATGAAAAAAAGAAACAGGGTCTGCATCCTTCCCATGCGTATTCCGCTTTAATTATATGTCAATGAAAAAACAAACAATTTTAAGCATACTTCACATTAAAATTGAAATTTCTAACAATTATATATTAAATTTAAAAATAACTACATTTATTAAAAATGTACAACCTATACATATTCTTCCCGCACTCTTGCAAACGTTTTTAAACCGGTTGTATGGTTCATTGTTTTCATTTCCCGATCATGCTTATTCCCTTTGACAATCTCTTGAAAAATAAGAGAATTTATTAAACAAATTTAAAGGTATTACAATATAAATCATAAAAGGTTTACCCTTGTTCTTTCTTTATCCCAATATCTCACCAACTTTGCCCACTGTGTATAATCCACATTAGGAGGAAGGTTGTAGTGCTCCTCAGCTGCTCTTCCAAAATAATATTTTTTAATCTTCTTCTTGAAAAATAACACTTCCCTAAATTCATAAAAAAAAAATCAAGCTAATTAATTATTATTGTAGTCATTGACTTATTCTACTATTTTCAAGTAAAAAAAATATATATATATATATACCTTTATTCTATTCCACAACACTTCCTTGTCTTGTTCCTTAACCAAGCGCCAATCCCTCGTCAACAGAAGATTTGTAGGATCTCTAACCTCTGATGCTACATGTTTTGGAAAAGCACTAGAATTTTCACTAATGCATTTGCCAGACGAATCAAATGAACAAGGTTGTTGTCCTATCCATTTGGGAATTGCAAGTCCGCGAGTTCTTCATTGAGATGTTCCTTATTAATATAGAACAAACAATTAAAAACCAAGAAATAAAAACCAATTTTCAATTTAAGCATAATATTAGTCAAAATACAAAACACAAACTGAATATAATAATAATAATAATAATAATTTAAAAATGAACTAGTTTCGAACTCTTCCTCTTCGAATTGGTGTTTCTCAGAATGTTGATCTTCCATATGTTCATCCATGACAAAAGCTACTCGAAGAAGAAGGAGAAAGAGAGAACTGAAATTGGGGAAGAAATGGACGCACAGGGAAGAAGGAATTAAACGCAGAGGAAAAGGGATGCAGGGATGAAATGTGGGAAGAAATGGGTTTAAATATGGATGAAAAGCTGCCGTCGGTTAACATCGCCAGAAAATGTACCTGACATCGAATCAAATGAACCCGGCGTCGCGAAAAACCGACACTACATCTGACACACCTGACATCCCTTTTCCCAATCCACTACCCCGTCGGCTACAACCAACACCACCTCTAACTAACATCCCTATTCCCAAGTCACTATCCTGTCGGCTATAACCGATGCCACATTTAACACACCTGACATCCCTCTTCCCAATTCATTGTCCCGTCGGCTACAACCGACACCACCTCTGACCCACCTGACATTCCTCTTCCCAATCCATTTCCGCATGTAAAACAAGCGGGAAAATTCCCGCCTAAATATTTCAAATTATTTGACACAGATGACCAATGTCGTCGGCTAAAAGCGACAGGAAACTAGCTTTAAAAAAAATTAAACTCTGAGAAAAAAAATCACCAGTTGTTTTTTTTTTTTTTTTTTTGTTATTTCATGTAAGTTTTAATATTTTAATAAGTTACATGGTGTGCGTAAATGCTATAAAAATCAGTATATTGTTAATAGAGTGCGAAAAAATATATATATTTTTTAACAAATAGAGCCAAGAAATATAAAGGAGCGTTTTTTGAAGAATTTTTGTTCACCACTATAACTTTCGTGTATACTCACATACACTTAATTATTTGTCATTGTCATTTGACCTCCTCCACCACTATCACGTGAAAAATAATTGGCAGTCTAGCTTTCTTAAAATTTTCAAACCATACATAATAGCATTATACAAATGAATATTTGAGATCACTTCAAAGGTTAAATTGCTTTACTCAGCAGAGCTCGATCCAATTTTTTTGATATTTTATTCGCTACAAGAAATAATAACTCTCCAAATTTCATTAAATACCTAACAAAATTGAACATCCAAAGTCTTTACTATGTGACCATATCCAATCCAATTATACATGGTTTGTAACTTAATTTGGAAAGGAAAACATAATTCCAAAGTTTGTTAGAGAAAACGAGTTTATAAAGCTGTAGCCAGGCGTTCCTTTTTGGAGAGATTGTACGAGACAAAGAAATTGATGCTAGTGAGGCAAAACTAAAACATATGTAAACCTAGATAAAGAAATATAATTTAGACTCCCACGCTTGCAACAACGCTTCTTTTGTAAACTTGCCAGCAATCCGCCCTATCGTGGAAGGGATAAAGACTTTGGCAGAGGGATGGATCCGAACGAAAATTTTATAAGTTAGCTTCCAATAAAAAAAATTTGTTCAATCTCTCTGCCAAGTCTAGAAAATATGGAAGGCTGCTGTCAAGGTTGGGATTCGAAATTATTATTTATTTAGTTTTATATATGTATATATTTTAGACTTTTAGTTTTGTCACCCCAAATCTCCGAGAGATTTTTCAGTGTGACCAATACTCGAAGCGGCACATCGCATGTCACTATACAAATAGTAGAATATGCGTGTTAAAAAGTTTAACTTAAAAAATAAAAATTTTCAAAAACACATGTAGTAGTGTACCATCCGTATTCCTGTCATAATGAAAATTTTCTCCTAAACGTCCTCGTTGCCTCGTACCTGAAGTCCCTAATTTACATTTCACTGAACGCTCGAACACCCGATCAGCTTCTCCTCCTCCACCACTATCAGCATGACGTCATCTCTCCACGTGTGGTGAAATCTCTCTCCTTTTTCTCTCCTTTTTAGTTTGATCTAGACAAAAGGTGCAAGTTGATGATGCATACGAGTGAAAAAGTATATATGTACCAAATGAAAGCAGGAGAAAAAAATAAGGAAAAGTGTACCAATGGTTGATATATGACGACATGCTGATATTGGGGAATACCGAAGAAGAGAAAGAGATTGATTGTCAAGTGAATTGAGAATTACGGGATGTAGGTGTGAGGTAGCAGAGAAGAAAGTTCGACATAGAGAATGGCGAGCTTGATGAAGGAAAGAACCACCCAAAGTCAAATGTTTTGATTTGTGTTTTTAGAAAATGAAATTTTGGAATGGAAGGTGCACGAAAGAAAAATGCACCATAACCAGTAACAGAATGATTTCTGCTTTCACTAAGCAAAATGAACTTTTCTTCTTCCTCCCATGAAGGGCTCTCTCACATTCGACAGAAGCTATTCTCCAATTATTATTCTTCTCTCTCATAGTCTCTGTGAATGGTTTTAGCCTCTCTAATGTAATAGACAGCATGACGGTGAAGAACATCTTGAGAATAGCTTCAGTTAAATAGGATAGTGAACCGTCCATGAAAGGAAGAAGAAAAACTTGTGGAGTCCACAAATATCTTTTTGCATGAATCAAATGATGGCAACTCATCCTTCACTTGGTGGGTTGTGCATAACCACACGATGAACCTTCCTTTAGAAGGTAATGTACTATGTACTAGTTAAGTTAAACACATTTAGTAGGAAGGAAAAAGACAATCATGTACACAAGACAATGATTTCACTAACAACCAAAATTATATTATTGTGTTGTCGATGCTTGTCTTTTTCTTTCCTATTTATTGTGTTAATTGAATATATATTACATTGGAGAAGTTAAAATTATTTCACAAATGATATGTGAGAGAAGTATAATAACTGAAAAATAACTCTAGTCGGATGGGGGGAGAAAGCGCTCCATGAAAAGAAGAATAAAATGGCACTTTGCTTTCTTTGCAACAATTCTTATTTTTGTAGAGTCACAACCTTTCTTTGAAAGGTTTACCGGGTGATTGTGGATAAAAGCGCTCCATGAAAAGAAGAATAAAATGTCACTTTGCTTTCTTTGCAAGAATTCTTATTTTTGTAGAGTCACAACCTGTTGAAATTTTTATGTGTATTTCATATCAAAACAATTACAAGATGAAACATTATATAGGAAAAGAAAGAGAACATAAGCCTAACTTGCCTAACTAGCCTAACTTGCCTAATTTCCTAACTTGCCTAACTTGCCTAATTTACACAAAGAAGGTTGACTAGCCTAACTTCACTAGTCATCCAACATGTTTATTTCATGCATGCATTTTAACAAAAGATATGACTTGCATGTAGGGCTGGGCACGGGCCGGGCCGGGCCCAAATTTGGAGGGACCGGACCGGACCTGTATGAAAACACAACGGGGCGGGTCGGGGCGAGTAATGGGATTTCAAATTTTGGAACCGGACCTAACTCGACCCGTTTGAAACGGGTCGATTCGGGCCGGGTCCACGGGTCTTAGCACAGAAAGGAACGAATTGAAGCCTGAAGGTTGTGTTCCTCAGCAAATAAAAGAAAACCATACCAACGCAACGCGTAGATCAAGATCCAAAGTATCAGATAAATCAACAACACATAGATTCCAAACACATCATTCAACCAAATTAAGCATGGGTAATCTATGAATTATTGAAAAAATGGGCTTAAGATCTTCTCCGAGGATGAGTTCTTCGTTGGGATTGAAGAAATGGGTGTGGACAGAGATAGTAGTAGTAGGTGAATGACGCCCATGACGTTCAAGACGTTTAAGCATGGGTAGTCTACAATTATTCAGTCCAACCCAACAAACAAATTCATATAAATAATCAAAAAGTTCAAGAATTTGAAAGAAAAATGGGTTTTTTGTTTGTTTGTTTTACCAGCCAATTGAAGTAGGGAATGAAGCTGATGACGCCCATGACGGCGAACCTGGCATCGGTGGAATCCGTTGCCGAACCGCCTTCGGCATCGTCATCGGGAATGCTGGCGGGAAGCACCAGCGACGAGAGCATGTAGGCGCCAATGGCGGCGACGAACGGCGCGTCGTTTGAGAACTCCGCTCTGCAGGGTCTGTATCCGGTGAGCTTTTTGTTCTTCTTACTGTTTGGGTGTTTGCTGGCGGAGAGGAGAGAGGGTCTGAGGCTGGAGAGCTGAGGAGGAAGCGGCGACGGCGGTTTAAGAGAGTGGAGAGTGGAGGAGCAGTGGATTGCGGCCATGGCTTGGCTTTAGAGAGTGGAGGAAGATGCAACATCTTCTGTGATCTTGACGCAGTCGAGGGGTGGGAGGGAGAAGAGAACAAGAACAGAGAAAAAAGTGGGGGGAATCTGGGAGTGGGGGAAGAAGATGACTGAAAAAGTAAAGCAATTGCTTTGTTATGGTAGAACGGGTCGGTTCGGGGCCCCGACATTCTCAAATTCTGGAACCGCCCCGCCCCTGAAGATACCCTCTCCCCGCCCCGCCCCGTTCCGTTTTGTCTCTACCAAATTTGGCCCCGCCCCGAACCCGCCCCGAATCGACAATACCCGCCCCTACCCGCGGGTCCTGTACCCGTTTGCCCAGCCCTACTTGCATGCATTCCAACACAACCTTTCTTTGAAAGGTTTACCAGGTGATTGTGGATAACTCATCCAATAAAGAATGAGCTGACATATTATAACGTTAACAGTGGTCTTGAATCAAGTTCAATTAAAAACTAAACTGCATCAACGAACTAAATTGAATCAACGAGCAACCAGCGACAGGAAATTTAAAAAAAAAAAAAAAAAAAAAAAAAAACCATTGCTCACACTATTACACGTCCTCTTATGTGAACAAAAAAAAAATGAAAGCGCCGTAATGTATGGGATCACATTTTTGGATGCATATTTGTGTATTACAAGAAATAACAAAGGATGCATATAACCAATATCTAATAAGATAAGCTCATTAATTGACATACTATGTTCTTTAATATCACTTACCACATAAAATGGTATGCCAATCCGGTTAAAATTAATGATGTCTGCCTAGCATTTTCCAAAATAAAAACTCCGTCCTTTAACATTTTCTAATTTTGAATCTCTTATTTTAATTTTCCGCATGGTACTATGGACCCAGTTAAGTGGTTTTTCTCTTTCACTTACAAGGGGAAGGTCTTACTTTCGGGTCCGATGGATTGTGAATCGTAATCAATTTCTTATGGTTGTTTTATTGTGTGGCTTGATCCAAATCCTCTACCTCTTAATATAAATATATTGTTTATTGGAAAAACAAACTTAATTAAAATAAAATAAAAATAAAATAAAATAAAATAAAAAAAGTTGAAGTAGCGCACCATTAACAAACTTTAGCCAATAAACTCAAGTAGTTTCCGCTAAAACCGGATATAAACACAATGGGTTAAAGGTTCAACATCACGTGGATGCCCAAACGAATATTTAAAAAAAAATGAAAAAAACAAAACAAAAACAAGGTTACAACTTACAAGATGTTCTAACAATCTTAAATTTGAAAAGTTTGAAGTTAAATGAAGACTGATCGATCAAAGTACAAATACAAAGTGACATAAACGAGGGCAATACTAAATATCAGTGGGTTTGGCATAAATATTGCTCAACAAGTTCAACCAAACAAAGGCAGCAGTGCTACAATCTTCTTCTCTAAATGACACGTTTCACTTTCTTGTACTTAATTAAACCGCATTCCATTTGGGAAAGTTACACATAGGGGTAGGTACGTACCCTAATTGATTCTAAACAAAAATTGTTAGAAATTCTTGGAGTTCTATCTTCTCTGTTTGTACCTTCTAGATATATGATGCAAATGACTTGGTTAAGAGGTTGAATTCTCCTGACTATAACAATACTCATGCGTTATAATGTGCGTTTTAACTTTTAACTAAGATCGGATTTTTTTTAACACCAAAAATCCCAACTTTGAGCTCAGAACATATGCAAAATAACGATATATATTATATGTAATCTAGGTGATCTATGACCAACCAATCCAATTATACATGGTTAGCAACTCAATTTGGGGAAGAAAAACATATATACACAACATTTCAAGCTCTCGTAGGTTTGCGGACCTATTAAACTTATTGACCACGCAAATATCTTATTTGTGTGGATCACATTGTGCCACCTCATTCTGGACTTGGTGGATTGTCCGTCATGTAGAATTCTCTCCCCTCTTAGTTTTTCTTCCATTCCCTCTCCTTCTATTTGACCAGTTACGGTTAGATCACGTTAACGTTTTGTGTTAATTTTTTAATAGCCACAACAAGATAAAAAACAATTTGTAAGAGGAAGAGAGAAGAGGATGGAAATAAGATAAGCGAATTGGGATTCTTTACTTCTATTCAACGAAAAGTTTCTTGATTTTGGCTATGGCTAAATGGTTGTTGAATACTTGCCTTGGAATAAATAGAATCAAATGGCCCATGTTTAAAGTTTAAACCTTCATTCGGAAGGTTTGAAGTCTACAAAAGTGCCAAGGCTTTACTTTTCCCTTCCACCGTTCCACGGAGTGCGCTCTCTCTCCACCTCTAGTAAGATCCTACTTTCTCATTTGATGTGATCTAGATTTGTAGTTATATTTTTATTTTGTTAACTTTTTTTTTCTTTCTTTTGTGTTTTATATGTCTTTTTAATCATGACAACCGCACAAGTTTTCTAGTAAGATTTTTGGGGTGGAAGTGGTAGAAAAAGACAGCATTAACGCCAATTTCAGTAATAAATAAATAATCACTTGGTTCATTTACTTACTAGTGAAAAGTGGTGTCAATGCTGTCTTTTTTACCCCTTCCACTCCAAAAATCTTACTAGAAAACTTGTGTTGTTGTCATGATAAAAAAGACATATAAAACACAAAAGAAAGAAAATAAATTAACAAAATAAAAATATAACTACAAATATAGATCGCATCAAAGGAGAAAATAGGATCTTACCAGATGTGGAGAGAGAGCGCGCTACGTGGAACGGTAGAATGGAAAAGTAAAGCCTTAGCCTTTTTGTAGACTTCCAACCTTCCAGAGGAAGGTTTAAACTTTAAACATGGGTCATTTGATTCTATTTATTCCGAAGCAAGATTCAACGACCATTTAGTCATGACCAAAATCAAGATAATTTTCGTACGTTGTTGAATAGAAGTAAAGAATCTCAATTCTCTCCTCTTATTTCGATCCTCTTCTCTCATCTCCTCTCACAAATTGTTTTTTATCTTCTTCTAGCTATTTAAAAATTAACATTAACCATAAACGTCCAAATAGAAAGACATGTAAGGAGAGAGAAACTAAAAGGAGACAGAATTCTACGTGATGAACAATCCACCAAGTCCAGAACGAGATGGCACAATGTGATCCACGCAAATAAGATATTTGTATAGTCAATAGGTTTAATAGCTCATTAACATTAAATCTCAAACCATTATTATAAGAAATCAATGCTCATTAATTTATGTAGGCACACAAGTCCACTGCAGAGATATTCAAACAATGGAACAGACTGGGTGTATGTTTTACATTCTAGTACTACATCACATATGCTGCGCTAGTCGCATCACATACAAGTCCAAAACATTATACAAAAGAACAGGCTGACACCTAACTCCTGATCTAAAGTGAATGTAAACGATGCATGTGAAGCTAGTTCATAGCCCAGGACAATACAAATAACTAAGAGACACCGTGCAAATATGTAATAATGACCAGGTAAAACGCAAGGATGTCATGTCACAAGTTTATGCTTACAAATAATATTAAAAACATAAAGTATACGAAAAGTATATTTGTAAAGCTAAACATAACATGTCACATTATAATATATAATACCAATTGTTGGAAAAATCACATATATATACACACACACACACATAAAAACAAAAGAACCACTCACATAACCATAGCTTGCTTGCTCTCGATAAGCCTTGCCATTCATCAAACTGAATAAGCCTGTACCTATACCAAGTCACATTGACTTAACAAAATACTTAAACATAAAGCATACACAAAATGGACAGATTAACTATAATATGTCCTATTTTACAAAATTACCCCTAACCACAGATAATTGCAAAAATGCCCCCCAAGTTTTTAGAATTACCAAACAGCCCTAAAGCTTCAACAATTTTTACAGTTTGGTCCTTGTTGTAAAAACAGTACCGCAACATCATTCTTTTTCTAAAATTTCCCACCAAACAAGCATATTCTACCGTTGTACAATTTCTAACATGTAACGTGATTAATGAAACCATTTCCGTTGAAGATTCCGTTAAACCCAACGGCGGTCGTTAGATTTCACGATCACCGGAGTTCACTGGAATCTGCATAACTTTCCCAGAAAATTACAGAGCTTCGGTTCAACTATTTTCATAGGGATTTTCATTCCGGTCTCAATTAAAATCATCTAAAAAGGGTTTAGAAAATTACCAAAGGACTGATTAAGATGAATTGGGGCAAGTTTGTCATGAATTTCATCGGAATTGCTCAGGTGAAGGTTCACCAGTTTTCTGGAACTAATTGCAGAGGATGAACAGAGGTGAAACACCTCGGTTCCACATGACTTTGAACTAGAACTTCACCAGAAATTGAGGTAATTCATCAGAGCATCAATACAGACGAAATCGAGTCGAATCCACTTCGGATTCAACGGATTTCCTTCGAACACACTCGTCAGTTTCTGGAAAACAAGAATAGAGTGCATGCACAGATTAGAACCTTCCATTTGGACTGAAAACAACTCAACAAAACAAAATAGGGCAGTGAGCTTCACCTGAGTTCGAGTTTCAGAGATTTGAAGCTATCGGCTTCAATGGCAGAACACACAGAGGTGTTCTAATGATGCAAGCAAGGTTACAGCTGAGTTTGGGTAGTGCCGAGGGAAAGAAGAAAGTGCAAGGAGAGGAAAAGCTGCAAATTTGAAAGCTTTTGAATTTCCGATGTAAGCGTGCCGGTGAGTTTCTGATTGCCCATTTGGATTTAAAAACCTTGCCGTCCTTGGTGCAACTGACTTGTCCCCAGTTGCAGTAATCGGTGCCGGATCACCCGAGGCTGTTGGGGCCGATGCTTTTGCTGAGTGCTTCCATAGCTGCTCTGTCATCGCCGCCGGCGGACTGGGAGTGTGCTGATGGTGGGTAGAGAGAAAAGAACAAAAGCAGCACACCAGGTAAACAACCCCAGAAACCCAGATGGGGGTCCTTCATCTTTCCCGGGAAAATCAGCCCAAAAGTGTAGAGAAAATGAAAAAGGCAGAGACTTTAACAGAGAAAGAAACGCAGAATAATGTAGGATTTATGGAAGGAGGAAGAGGGCGGAGAATCTGAGAATTGGGCACGGGGCAAGTGGGGGTATAACTTTAATTGGTGGGGAGTGGGAGGGCACGGGGCAATTAGGGTGTGTATGTATGTGTCAGAGAGAGAGAGAGAGAGAACTGATAATTCAAAAAAAAAAAAAAGAGGAAGTGAGAGAGATGAGTGGAAAGAGATAAGAAGTACTGGTTTGGTACTGATGTGCTTTTATAAAAAGTGAGTATAAATAAAAATTGAGCTTAAAAAGTGTTGGGTAAATATTTAAAAATATTTTATTTTCACAATTTTTGGTGAAAAAAAAGCTGAAAACGTGAAGCAGCAAAAATAAGCTTATTCTCACAGCACAGCAGAAGTAGTTTTTTTTTTTTTTTTCAAAGCACAGCAATACGAAACTAGCCCAGAATGAGTGAGAGAGCTAGAGAGTTGTGAGGGAAAATGATGGTGTCAGATGGAGTTGGAAAAATAGTTGAAATTTTTTGTTGTGACGGAAACACAAATGGTACATCATGTGTTTTAATAAGAGTTATGGGAAATTTTACTATTTAAGTTATTAACTTTTTAGCACATATATCCCACCATTTACATAATAACACGTGGTTATCATTTCGTGTACCGATCAAACTAAAAAATCTCTCGAAAAATGGAGCTTTCAAAACCCAAATAAACCATTATTTTAATTCCTACTTGTATTTCACTTCAATTTCCACTAAAAACAACAGCGACCCACTCGGACACGATAAAATCCCAGCATTGGTGCGCGCTGCACGAGGGAAGGTTTCAAGTTTTGGAGTTGCATGGTATTTTTATACTGTTTTAAACAAAACTTGTTCGTTGTAATTCTGAATTGAGTTCTGTTTACCGTTACGTGTTCAAAAATAGTAAAATAAGGCTGGAAAAATAAAAGAAAATTTTGAAGTCCATGTGGAAGGCCTACGTGGTATCTCAAGGGTATTTTAGGAATTTTATCACTGTTAAGAATAAAATATAATAAATTTCACGACGGGATGTCACAACATTTTAAAATTAAAAAGTTGAAAAGTTTCATAGATGGGTACATATAAGATTAAAAAATTGGAAACCCTTTGATAAAAAAATTCAGGGGTACAAACTTATTCTAATCTTTTTTTTAAATGTTTTGAATTGAAAATTAACTAGGAGTTTAATAAAGGTGTGAATATTAAAATCCTAATCAATTATTAATTTTTATTTTAAAAATTGTGTAAATGATATGTAAATTTATTATTGTATTAATGATAAGGACTTTGACCAAAATCTAAAAACTAATAAGATTTCTGTCAATGAACATTAGTCAATATAGACCGGATACTAATTTTCTCAATTAGAATATTAGGGTGTTTTCAATTGGTCCCTAATTAGTGCGTATCATATACATGGCAAAACGGTTTATCTACAACTGTCTTTCAATGATAGATAAATCGTTTTTGGTTTTCGCTATCGGGTTTTCCTTTTTTGATGTGGGTTTTTTACAAAGTTTCTTTCGGCTATGTTTGGTGAGAGATTTTCAGGTACCAAGGGATAGAGGAAAAGTTAGTAAGGAATAGGGAACTTCATGTTACAAAGGCGTGTATGAGATAAAATGTTTATAAACGAATATACTCATGAAATACACTTCTAATTCTTTCTAATATTTTGTGTTCTATTCCTTATACTAACTACACTCCAATTCTTTTTTGGGAAAACTTGATATAAGTCCAATTTTTTGAGTCAATAGTAGGAATAGTCCAATTTATTAAAATAAGTCCAATTCCTTAAATTTAATTAATTTATTATCAAGAATTATCTCTTCAATGAAAAATTTATTGTAAAAATCAAATTTCTTCCTAATTATCTCTTTGATTATTTCTTTTTATTTTTTATTTTTGTTATTTCTTGTTCTTCCTCCTACTTTAACCCATTTATAGATTTTATTTTAATTTTTATAATCAACCTATATCACAGGTTAATTGTATTTATCTACCTATATGATAGGTTCTTTTTCATAGTCAACCTGTCACAGATTGTGTCTTGCTTGTAGGTATATTATGTGTTTTTTCTACCTTTTAGTTAGGTTTCATATCTTACTCATAGGTATAATATATATTCATATATTTGCTACTTGAATTAGGGTAGAATGTTTTGCAGATAGATTTATGTTAGTATATTAATTTTTTTTGTTATAAGATATTAATTAGATATTTTGGAGTTAGAAAATGCATAATATTAAAAGATTTTAATTGATTTTTAATATTTTTAGAAAATATAAAAGAAATAAAAACATATAATTAGATAACTGAACTCACTCCTAAAAACATTCTATGTTTTTGGACCTAGATCTAAAAGCCCCTTCTTTTTTAGAGCTAGCTTATGACCTCTAGGTCAAGTGGCATGGGAAGATATATATATATGTTAAATCTTAGCTTTGCAAAAAAATTGAAACATCACTTTGTATTTTTTAAGAACAGAAGGTTAGAGGAAGAAACTCTACTCAAGTGAAGACTTGATCGATGTAGGATTTAGGGCTCAATCATGTCCAATTTATGAACCTCACATATATATACATACCTAGGTTAATGGCCATTAATATCTTAGACTGCATGAAGTATCATCAGTCATCACCATTCCTAGTATTTGCTTCTTGTTATACATCCGAGTTTACGCACATGCATGTAAACACAAAATTATTGTTTGGTTCAATTTGACCCTAAATTATATTTTTTGTACAAAGCCCTAACCAAATTACTTAGATTAACGTATATGAATATGTTTACAACATTTTAATGCTAAAAATCTTTATACTTAAATTTACCCCATTGCAGAAATTAGAAGTGTCGAAGTCAAAGATTCTATTATGGGGGTTAACCTTAAATATCTATAAGCTTAAAGTGAAAAAGAAAAAAAATGACGAAATCTTATATATAAACACAAAATCATAGTTTGAAAACTCTTTAAAGACGATTTAATTTGAATGTATATTAATTACTTCTATATATATATATATATATTTTTTTTTTTTGAACAAACAATATTCTCGAACCTAAGACCTCTCACTTACAAGTGAAAGTGAATACCACTAGATTGTATACTAAGTGGCAATTACTTCTACATTTCTAATATGACATTATTAGACATAAATTGTATAATTATGGTTAGGTGATTAGCTAATTAGTGATAGTTGGCACAATAGAGAGAAAAAAAAATACAAAATGGTAAATTTATTCTTGAGTTATATTTCTGAAGATAGGGGTCAAAAAATTAAAGTATCATGTTGTTCAATGGACAAAAATGGTCAAAACTTATAGACTTTGATATAAAAACCAAATACATCAAAATCATATAACAAAAACTTAAAAGTGAAAAGAAAGTAATCCTCCTGAGCCTTCATTGGCTCTGCCAGTGGAAATTAGCCTTCTCACATCTAAAGCCCTTATTTTCCCACACCAAAGTATATTTTCAAGGCAGAAGCCATGCATTGTTAAAGTACTATCCTATATATTCTACTAAAATTTCCGGTTCCGCCCTTTATAGCGCATCCTTTTTTTTCTTCTAATTGCAGCAAGACAACTTTCAATAAAACCTCACTTCTTACTTTACATGCAGGTGATAAGACTTAAGTTGAAGAAAATAACGGGATAATAACGGTGTAATTAGTAATAAGCCAATGGTTTAACCCCAAAATAATTTAATTGTACTTGGCGTAAGTTATATGACCCCATATGTCATGGGAAGATATATATGTTAAAACTTTTTTATTTCAAATTGGTGAGTGGATTCACACGCACCATTAATATTCACGTAGTAATATTACAGTAGTCCATGCATGTAGTAGTCCATGCATGCACAGAGATTCGAGTACGTACGTCCTTATGTTGTAAGCATGCAGGAGTTTCATCACGTTTCACGTGCTTCCCCAGGCTGTAGCTGAGAAAGATTAAAGAGCATGCATGTAATGTCAATTTTTATGCAGCGAATCTTCATTCTTTTGTAGTTGGGTTGAATAAATATCTTGGTACTTTGGTAGTTGAGTTGCATTATATGATCCCAGCTCTTGAAACTTTATCCTTTTGAACTCATGTTTAATTCTATTTTTTTTATAAATATTTTGAATTGAAAATTAAAATGGAGTTTAATAAAGGTGTGAATATTAAAATCCTAATCAATTTTTATTTTTTATTTTAAAAATTGTGTAAATGACATGTAAATTTATTATTGCATATTATGCTAGGGACTTTGACCAAAATCTAAAAATTAATAAGGCTTCAGTCAATGAACATTAGTAAATAGGGATTAGATACTAATTTTGAATGCGATCCCTAATTATCAATATTCTTTTACTGGAATTTTGTTGGTTTTCAATTTTTTATCGAAATCCATGAAATTAATGTGAATGTATTTCTATGTAGGTTACTATATTTTTTAAATTAAATATTAAAATTTATAGTTGTTTGTATTAATGAGATTTTAAATTAAAAAAACCCATAATGTGTGGATTAAAAATATTAAAATATAAAATATACTCTCCAATATATTGTGTGTATATATATGTATATAAACATGGGTACATTCATAAAAATTAACAAAAAATTTATAGTACCAAAATATGGGTCCATTCTTCAAAACGGCACAAAAAATAATAGATATAATGCTTAATAACATTAGTAAATTTATTCGATTAAACTTGACATGGATATCATGCTGTTCAATGGACAAAAATGGTCAAAACTTATAGACTTTGATATATAAAAAAAAAACCAAATACATAAAATCATATAACAAAAGCTTAAAAGTGAAAGGGGTCAAGTGACTCGTCACCCTTCATTGGCTCTGCCAGTGGAAATTAGCCTGCTCACATCTAAAGCCCTTATTTTCCCACACCAAAGTATATTTTCAAGGCAGAAGCCACCATTGTTAAAATACTATCCTATATATAGCGCATCCCTTTTTTTCTTCTAATTGCAGCAAGACAACTTTCAATAAAACCTCACTTCTTACTTTACATGTAGGTGATAAGACTTAATGGGATCATATAATAATGCAACTCAACTCCATAGTACCAAGATATTTATTCAACCCAACTACAAAAGAACGAAGATTCGCTGCATAAAAATTGACATTACATGCATGCTCTTTAATCTTTCTCAGCTAAAGCCTGGGGAAGCACGTGAATCGTGATGAAACTCCTGCATGCTTACAAAATAAGGACGTACGTACTCGAATCTCTGCGCATGCATGGACTACTGTAATATTACTACGTGAATATTAATGGTGCGTGTGAATCCACTCACCAACGAAAAAAGAAAAGAAATTGGGAGTGAACATGTTTTGGCACCCTGTGTAGTTTTGCCTCGAATGTACTCCACCTTTTTAGTTTCACCAATTTGAAATCAAAACGTTTCAAAAGTTTTAACATATATATCTTCCCATGCCATATGGGGTCATATAACTTACGCCAAGTACAATTAAATTATTTTGGGATTAAACCATTGACTTATTACTAATTACACCGTTATTATCCCGTTATTTTCTTCAACCCCAGCTCTTGAAATATTTTGAATTGAAAATTAATTAGGAGTTTAATATAGGTGTGAATATTAAAACCCTAATCAATTATTAATTTTTATTTTAAAACTTGTGTAAATGACATGTAAATTTATTATTGCATTAATGCTAGGTACTTTGACCAAAATCTAAAAACTAATAAAGTTTCAGTCAATGAACATTAGTAAATAGGGACTAGATACTAATTTTCTCAATTAGAATATTAGGGTGATTTCAATTGGTCCCTAATTAGTGCATATCATATGCATGGCAAAACGGTTTATCTACAACTGTCTTTCAATGATAGATAAATCGTTTTTGGTTTTCGCAAAATCATAGTTTGAAAACTCTTTAAAGACGATTTAGTTCGAACTAGCAAAGGAGCCCGCGCGATGCTGCGGGTTTTAAAACTGTTAGGCATAACAAAAACAGTTGGTGCATAGTTGTAATGCATAGTTTGAAACGAACAGTTTCTTGACATGTTCATGCTTCGGTAAATAATATTCATCAGCATATGTACAAACCAAACTAAATTTATTAATTTAAAAAATTATTTGCTTCCTCTGCCCAACCCAAATTAATTCATACAAAATTTGCACAACACAAATTAAGAGATCAAACCAAATCTACACAATTCAAATAAGAGATCAAACCAAGCTAATCTTTTCCTTTTGGAAAAAGCAGCATACTCTTGGGAGAAAAGTGAGGTAATTAGTAGTGTACCTTTAATCAAACCTCTGTAAATCAGGTTGGCCTTAATTGATCAAACCGCACCTGCTTTCTAAAATTCTGAAATATCTATCAAAATAAAATCACACAAAATCAAATTTGAAAAACAAACCATACTAATTCAAATAAGAAATACACACAGTTCCCAAATAAAGAGCATGGTTCAAGTTAGTGATTTGATTTAGGCACAAAATGCAATAGCAACCTAACTATTTATATAAATTAAAAATATTTAAATATATACTTCAATAATATTTACAGTTATTCTCTACTGTAAGCAATTATTTTTGTTTAACAGAGTTCATTATTTTGTAATCAATTATTTGTTTACAAATTTGAAAACGATTTATTCACTTAAGTTCCTAATTAGAATAAAATAAACATTCACATTAATAAAGAACTTGGAAAATGGTATGGACCTCCAACTGTTTACATCTTCCCATCTTGTCTAAAAATAAACACCACATATGGGTTCTTCCACTGGATGAACACTTCAACAACAACAACAACAAAGCCTTTTCCCACTAAGTGGGGTCGGCTATATGAATCCTAGAACGCCATTGCGCTCGGTTTTGTGTCATGTCCTCCGTTAGATCCAAGTACTCTAAGTCTTTTCTTAGAGTCTCTTCCAAAGTTTTCCTAGGTCTTCCTCTACCCCTTCGGCCCTGAACCTCTGTCCAGTAGTGACATCTTCGAACCAGAGCGTCAGTAGGCCTTCTTTGCACATGTCCAAATCACCGGAACCGATTTTCTCTCATCTTTCCTTCAATTTCGGCTACTCCTACTTTACCTCGGATATCCTCATTCCCAATCTTATCCTTTCTCGTGTGCCCACACATCCCACGAAGCATCCTCATCTCCGCCACACCCATTTTTGTACGTGTTGATGCTTCACCGCCCAACATTCTGTGCCATACAACATCGCTGGCCTTATTGCCGTCCTATAAAATTTTCCCTTGAGCTTCAGTGACCTATGACGGTCACACAACCCGCCGGATGCACTCTTACACTTCATCCATCCAGCTTGTATTCTATGGTTGAGATCTCCATCTAATTCTCCGTTCTCTTGCACGATAGATCTTAGGTAGCGAAAACGGTCGCTTTTTGTGATCTTCGCTAGATTGCTCCGGTCATTAGTATGGATAAGTATATAAATGGATAGAGATAGGAAAGCGAACACAAGATGTACTTGGTTCACCCAGATTGGCTACGTCCACGGAATAAAGAAGTTCTCATTAATTGTGAAGGGTTTACACAAGTACATAGGTTCAAGCTCTCCTTTAGTGAGTACAAGTGAATAATTTAGTACAAAAGACATTAGGAAATATTGTGGGAGAATGATCTCGTAATCACGAAACTTCTAAGTATCGGAGTGTGGTATCGTCTTGACGTGCCTTATCTATCTCATAGGTAGATGGGGCATCTTCTCTGGAAGTACTCTTTCTCCATCCCGGGGTGGTATCTTTAACTGGTGGAGATGCACAAGGTAATGTATCAATTTCACTTGAAGCTTACTTGTAGTTTCAGGCTTGGTCAAGCGCGATACAAACCATGTAGTAGGAGTCCCCCAAGTCGCCGAGCTAGGGGATCTGCTGAAAGAGGTGACAGACAAGGTAAGCAATCATAGCTCCGGCTGATTGTTCACAGTCTCCCTATCTTGCAGGCAGCATGAAGGATAAAGAGAAGAAAATGAGTGAGATGATATGGGATACTTTTGCTTTTGAAGAAGTAACTTTCCACAGGCTTATTCTTGAACTGAGCTGGAGGGTTTTCTGGTTTCCTCCAGAGTATAAGGCCGACTGAAGAATTTGAGGGTCAAAACAAGTCCATCAAATCTAGAGTACGTTCGACCCTGCTGATATGGGATACTTTTGCTTTGACAGAGTAATGGATGTATCGGCACGTGTGTTGTTACGCTTGTCTCCACATGCTTCCTTGTATCCTTCTCCCTTGCCCTATCTGTTCCTCAGGCAGATGCGGTATCTTCCCTGGAAGCATAAGATGTTGAAGATGAGTACTCGAGAGCAATGTCAGGTAAGTAATCAGGTAAGGGGTTCCAGGCAGTCAGTTCCTGGCTGGAAGCTTGATTCCAAGTGCTGACTGATTGCTCTCTTTCTCCTTGTCTTGCAGGTAAGAACAAGGTCCAAGGAAAAGACAGGGAAAAAGCATGATATGAGATACTCTTGCTTTTAACCCTGATGATATGAGATATTCTTGCTCTAGTATAGCTTGTTTGCAGAGGTATTATCGGGGGGAAAGAAAGCTGAATATTTCAAAAGGCTTCGTTGGGAGTGCCCTCTCAGATATGAGGAAGGGTTGAGCATTTTTGCAGGTCTGCCTGTCCGTTGGGGATGGAGGTCGACATATATAGGAGTCTCCCTTAACAACAAGTAGTAATAATGCTATTTCTTTACCCTACTTGGTCATAGCACGGTAGTGGTAAGAGCTGTCAGCTTCACATGTTTTAACGCTGTCAGAGCACTTTGAAAAAGTGGTTTGTGGTATCTGGAAAGCTGATGTTGCGTGTGAAGATTACAGACAACTTTATCCAAGGAGATCCGGCTCTTGAAGTTGGAAAAGTGTTGCCTCTTCGGTTTTCGAACAAGCAATCCTATCGGGGATCTGGCTCTCGAGATTCGGAGAACGATGCCTCTTCGATTTTTGAGAAAGCAATCATGCTGGGGGTCTGGCTCTCGAGATTCGGAGAGCGGTGTCTCTTCGATTTTTTGAGAAAGTAATCATGTTGGGAGTCTGGCTCTCGAGATTCGGAGGGCGGTGCCTCTTCGATTTTGGAGCAAGCAATCTTGTTGGGAGTGTTTTCTCGAATGTGAGTAAAGGTTGGGCATGTTTGCTAGTCTACCTTGCCACGAAGCACAGAGGTTGACACACAGGGACTTTCCAATTATCCAGCAATGGTACTGTTCCTTTACCCTCTTCGATTTTTGAGAAAGTAGTCATGTTGGGAGTCTGGCTCTCGAGATTCGGAGGACGGTGCCTCTTCGATTTTGGAGCAAGCAATCTTGTTGGGAGTGTTTTCTCGAATGTGATTAAAGGTTGGGCATGTTTGCTAGTCTACCTTGCCATGAAGCACAGAGGTTGACACACAGGGACTTTCCAATTATCCAGCAGTGGTACTGTTCCTTTACCCTTGTGGGTAATAATATGGTAGCTAGACCTTCAAAATTTATGTGTCTAAACTTTGTTAGTGTTGTTTCTTTGCTATTCTTTTACCCTTCTTGGTCAGAGCGATGTAGTGGGAGCTGCAAGCTTCACGTGTTCAACTTTGGCAGAGAACTTTGGCAAAGTTATATGTGGTACCCATGAGCTACTGTTGCGTGTGGGAAGTGGGTGATTGAACAGTAAAACTCATGTGCTTTCTACTTCACCAGAAGTCTTCGACCGAATGCCCATAATTTCCGCAAAGCTAAGTGTGCGTGTGACAGGTGCTGACAAGGCTGGAAAAGTAGGTGCCTCTTCGATTTCTGAGATCGGCCCTCGTGGTCTCTGAGCAGCCCAGCTTTTGAGAAAGCAAGTGCCTCTTCGATTTCTGAGATCGGCCTTCGTGGTCTTTGAGCAGCCCAGCTTTTGAGAAAGCAAACGCCTCTTCGATTTCTGAGATCGACCCTCGTGGTATCTGAGCAGCCTTGCTTTTGAGAAAGCAAACGCCTCTTCGATTTCTGAGCAGGCGCCTCTTCGATTTCTTAAAGCTCCGTCGAGTGCAGATTTTTTATAGGGGCTGGCATTAAGTTCCAAAGCACACTTGAATCTCCACCAGTAGAAGCTCCATTCTTGCACTTCTAAGATCTTGATTTGTCCGACCTCTTCTCTCTTCAACACCTTTGAAAATGTCTGGCCCCTCCGACCGTCGTTTTGACTTGAACCTTGTTGAAGAGGCAGCCCCGCCTTCTCCAGACAACATATGGCGCCCATCCATTCGTCTCCCCTACTGGTCCTCTTACCGTTGGGGATTCCGTGATGAAGAATGATATATGACCGCTGCGGTGGTGGCCAGGAACCTTCTCACTCCCAAAGATAACAGACTACTTTCCAAACGGTCTGATGAGTTAGCTGTTAAGGATTCTCTGGCTCTCAGTGTTCAGTGTGCAGGTTCTGTGTCTAATATGGCCCAACGCCTATTTGCTCGAACCCGCCAAGTTGAATCATTGGCGGCTGAAGTGATGAGTCTCAAACAGGAGATTAGAGGGCTCAAGCATGAGAATAAACAGTTGCACCGGCTCGCACATGACTATGCTACAAACATGAAGAGGAAGCTTGACCAGATGAAGGAATCTGATGGTCAGGTTTTACTTTGATCATCAGAGATTTGTGGGTTTTGTTCCAAAGGCATTTATTGCCTTCGTCTTCTGGGGCTGTACCGCGTAATGAAGCTCCAAATGATCAACCTCTGATGCCTCCTCCTTCTAGGGTTCTGTCCAGTACTGAGGCTCCGAATGATCCCCCTCCGGTGCCTTCTCTTTCTGGGGCTCTACCGACTGCTGAGACTTCTCCTAAGCAACCTTTGTGAAGGCTCCCTCTTGTTTGTTTATTTTGACTCATGTATATGTACATATTTGTAAGCTTATCGGGGATATCAATAAATAAGCTTTCCTTCATTTCAACGTATTGTGTTAAATACACCAAAGCCTTCTTCGCTAAGTTCTTTGAATTTTCTTTTGTTGAAGCTTTGTGAGTGGAGCATGTAGGTTGAGGTAGTGTTCCCTTAATTTCCTGAGTGAGGAAAACTTCTCGGTTGGAGACTTGGAAAATCCAAGTCACTGAGTGGGATCGGCTATATGAATCTTAGAACGCCATTGTGCTCGGTCCTGTGTCATGTCCTTCGTTAGATCCAAGTACTCTAAGTCTTTTCTTAGAGTCTCTTCCAAAGTTTTCCTAGGTCTTCCTCTACCCCTTCGGCCCTGAACCTCTGTCCCATAGTCGCATCTTCTAATCGGAGCGTCAGTAGGCCTTCTTTGCACATGTCCAAACCACCGTAACCGATTTTCTCTCATCTTTCCTTCAATTTCGGCTACTCCTACTTTACCCCGGATATCCTCATTCCTAATCTTATCCATTTCTCGTGTGCCCACACATCCAACGAAGCATCCTCATCTCCGCTACACCCATTTTGTGTACGTGTTGATGCTTCACCGCCCAACATTCTGTGCCATACAGCATCGCCGGCCTTATTGCCGTCCTATAAAATTTTCCCTTGAGCTTCAGTGGCATACGGCGGTCACACAACACGCCAGATGCACTCTTCCACTTCATCCATCCAGCTTGTATTCTATGGTTGAGATCTCCATCTAATTCTCCGTTCTTTTGCAAGATAGATCCTAGGTAACGAAAACGGTCGCTCTTTGGTATTTCTTGATCTCCGATCCTCACCCCTAACTCGTTTTGGACCTCCATTTGCACTGAACTTGCACTCCATATATTCTGTCTTTGATCGGCTTAGGCGAAGACCTTTAGATTCCCAACTCTTCTCTCCAAAGGTTAAGCTTTGCATTTACCCCTTCCTGAGTTTCATCTATCAACACTATATCGTCTGCGAAAAGCATACACCAAGGAATATCATCTTGAATATGTCCTGTTAACTCATCATTACCAACGCAAAAAGATAAGGACTTAAGGATGAGCCTTGATGTAATCCTACAGTTATGGGAAAGCTTTCGGTTTGTCCTTCATGAGTTCTTACGGCAGTCTTTGCTCCTTCATACATATCCTTTATAGCTTGGATATATGCTACTCGTACTCCTTTCTTCTCTAAAATCCTCCAAAGAATGTCTCTTGGGACCCTATCATACGCTTTTCCAAATCTATAAAGATCATGTGTAAATCCTTTTTCCCATCTCTATATCTTTCCATCAATCTTCGTAAGAGATAGATTGCCTCCATGGTTGAGCGCCCTGGCATGAACCCGAATTGGTTGTCCGAAACCCGTGTCTCTTGCCTCAATCTATGCTCAATGACTCTCTCCCAGAGCTTCATTGTATGACTCATTAGCTTAATACCCCTATAGTTCATGCAATTTTGTACGTCGCCCTTATTCTTGTAGATAGGCACCAAAGTGCTCGTTCGCCACTCATTTGGCATCTTCTTCGTTTTCAAAATCCTATTGAAAAGGTCAGTGAGCCATGTTATACCTGTCTCTCCCAAAACTTTCCACACTTCGATTGGTATACCGTCTGGGCCTATTGCTTTTCTATGCTTCATCTTCTTCAAAGCTACAACCACTTCTTCCTTCCGGATTCGACGATAAAAAGAGTAGTTTCTACACTCTTCTGAGTTACTCAACTCCCCTAAAGAAGCACTCATTTCATGTCCTTCATTGAAAAGATTATGAAAATAACCTCTCCATCTGTCTTTAACCACGTTCTCTGTAGCAAGAACCTTTCCATCCTCATCCTTGATGCACCTCACTTGGTTTAGGTCCCTTGTCTTCTTTTCCCTTGCTCTAGCTAGTTTATAGATATCCAACTCTCCTTCTTTGGTATCTAGTCGTTTATACATATCGTCGTAAGCCGCTAACTTAGCTTCTCTCACAGCTTTCTTCGCCTCTTGCTTCGCTTTTCTATACCTTTCACCATTTTCATCAGTCATATCCTTGTATAAGGCTTTACAACATTCCTTCTTAGCCTTCACCTTTGTTTGTACCTCCTCATTCCACCACCAAGATTCCTTTTGGTGTGGGGCAAAGCCCTTGGACTCTCCTAATACCTCTTTTGCTACTTTTCGGATACAACTAGCCATGGAATCCCACATTTGGTTAGCTTCCCCATCTCTATCCCACACACATTGGGTGATTACTTTCTCTTTGAAAATGGCTTGTTTTTCTTCTTTTAGATTCCACCATCTAGTCCTTGGACACTTCCAAGTCTTGTTCTTTTGTCTCACTCTTTTGATATGTACATCCATCACCAACAAGCGATGTTGATTAGCCACGCTCTCTCCTGGTATAACTTTGCAATCCTTACAAGTTATACGATCCCCTTTCCTCATTAGAAGAAAATCTATTTTGTGTTTTTGACGACCCACTCTTGTAGGTGATCACATGTTCTTCTCTCTTCTTAAAGAAGGTGTTGGCTAAGAAGAGATCATATGCCATTGCAAAATCCAAGATAGCTTCCCCATCCTCGTTTCTCTCCCCAAAACCATGGCCACCATGAAAACCTCCATAGTTGCCTGTCTCCCTGCCCACGTGTCCATTTAAATCTCCTCCTATAAATAACTTCTCCGTCTGAGCAATTCCTTGCACCAAGTCTCCAAGGTCTTCCCAGAATTTCTCCTTCGAACTCGTATCCAACCCTACTTGAGGTGCGTACGCACTAATCACATTGATAAGTTCTTCCACTGGATGAACACTTCATTTTCTATATTCTATTGGGTTCACTTTCTTTTCATTTTTTTTCATTTTTACCATTCCAATCTGTGCATTTTTCTCTGTCAGTATGCCTTAACTTTTGAGTCCCTATATGCACCTACTTTAGTACCCTCTCTCTCTCCAGCTTTCCTTTTAAATAGGTTATCATAAACCCATGCTCACTTTCACCCAACAACAAAAGAAACAGAGGGAGAAAGGAAGACACCACATTTAATTAATTCATGATTCTGTCTAATTAGCTTTGATTGAACTGGAAAACCTAAATCCTAAGCTCTATATAACAACATGCATTTAAACTGTCAAGTGATTAAAACTGCATTAGGCTAATGATTTTCAAATTTAAACACTCAACCATTACAAAGAGTTGCAAGCATCACAATGCATAATTGAAATATTAAAAGAATAATAAATCTCTCCCCACCTAAAACAGTCAGATTCTCATTCTCATCCAAGGCCCCGATGATGTTTAAATACTCTATGGTGTTTTGCACCTGTAAACGATATCAAGAGACAAAAGGTGAATTGCAGATGAGCAGCAAAATTTACAAATAAGCACAACAATTTGGGGTCAGCCTTGAGCTGCACGTGTGCAGGGTGCAACTAAACCACCATATGCCTCTAAGATAACAAACAGACATTAATACGCATATGCACTGAATGCTAAGGAATTAGCAATCTTTAGCTCTAATCAGTTTAAGAAAGTAACGCTACAATGAAAAGCGAATTACAACAATTCTCAATAAGCTTTCAGATCATTTTAGTTATGACAACTTAAATATTTCCACGTGATCTCAAATAATTGGAGAACCTCACATGATCCGTCATCCATGTGATCTCTCTTCTTCTTCAAATGGATCTAATATCTACTGAGTAACACTCAAAGATCAATACTTTAAGCAAAAACATAAGGGGTTCCATTTATTTACCAAATAAAATCAATGGTTTACATAGAAATTAGAAAAGCTGACCAGTGAGCGAAGAATTTGACTATGGCAAAGAGGCAGGGGTGTCTCCAAGGACTGCATCGAAGCTGGTGGCGTTCAAATCGACAGCGAAGTCGCAAGCTGATGTTCAAATTCCTGATTTTCTGTAATGGTATAATGACGTTTATGTGAAAAGAATAAACATTAGGCTCATTCATATCTCTATCAGTACAATTAATTTGATTAAATCGTCCATAACTTTCTTACAATAAAGCTCTATATTTCTGTTTAACCGCACTAAAAAGGCTGTTTTTCACTCAAGGATCTTGTCAATCCATCTCACCAGTAATTCTTCGAAAAAATTACACACATTTTAATCTAACACCAACCAAGGAGTTGTCAAATCAGGAAAAAACAAAAAGAGAAAAAAACTTACCCAAAAAATAACAGGACCGTCGGAACCGTCGGTACCGTAAACCTGAGACTGACCAAGCAAGGAACCAAACCACAAAATATCCTCTTAGCCAGGAAAACTCTAGCACAGGAACAAAGCCAACCCAAAACCAAACGGTTACAATTCCATCCAAAATTAATCAAAACACAGCAGTTAGAAAACATACCTCAGTTGTAGAAAATTAACTTCCCAGCGATGCAAAAACAACCGGTGCTCAAACAGAAAACAAAATCAGAAATAGATCCGACCAAAATCGGTGCAAATCAGACATAAACAAACGCAAAAGCCGCGTATATGATCTCTTGTCTAGGCTTGGAAGCTACGAAATTGAAGAATCTATTCCTCATATTGATTCTACTTGATATATCATTAGTAAGATCGCTATATCATGAAATTATTCAAAAATCCTATATCGTAGAAAATTGAAAATTGCAGGTAATCAAAAACTCAAGAATTTTACACAGAAGAACTAACTTTCAAATAATTAAATATATAATTACGGGAGAAACGATATCTGTGTATGGAGGTGCTTCAATGGAGGAGAGAGAAGCTCCGAAATCGGGAGGAAGAAGCCGCGAGTAGGTTTTTGATTTTTAGTTGCTTCGGCGAAGGAAGAGGTGGAAGAAAAGAAGAAGAAAGAGAGAAACGAAAGATGCTTCCAGCATCTTACGGAACCCACGAGGTGAACCCCTTTGATTTTCTTTTGCTAAGCGGGAGAAATGGAGGGTGAATCGGTGTTGTAGTTGGTTGCGAGATAGTGACACAGAGAAGTCGATAGGAAAGAAGAGTACAGAAGAGGAAAAGAAGAGCAAGGGAGCAGGTGGAACATCCCAGATTTTTCAGCCAAAGCAACGGAAAGCAAAAGAAAAATCGAGAACACACAGTCCAAATGGAGGATTCCATCGATGACAGACGCGTGGAAGCAATGGGCATAAGCGGCATTTCGGTGCCCCAAAAACCAAAGAGAAGAACGACATAAACTGTATAATTAGGGTTAGGTGATTAGCTAATTAGTGATAGTTGACACAATAGAGAGAAAAAAAAATTACAAAATGCTAAATTTCATTCTTGAGTTATATTTATGAAGTTATGGGTCAAAAAATCAAAATATCATGTTGTTCAATGGACAAAAAGGGTCAAAACTTATAGACATTGATATAAAAAAAAAACCAAATACATAAAATCATCTAACAAAAACTTAAAAGTGAAAAGGGTCAAGTGATCCTCCTGAGCCTTCATTGGCTCTGCCAGTGGAAATTAGCCTTTGACATCTAAAGCCCTTATTTTGCCACACCAAAGTATATTTTCAAGGCAGAAGCCACGCATTGTTAAAATCCTATCCTATATATTCTACTAAAATTTCTGGTTATCCCTTTTTTTCTTCTAATTACAGCAAGACAACTTTCAATAAAACCACACTTCTTACTTTATATGCAGGTGATAAGACTTCAGTTGAAGAAAATAATGGGATAATGACGGTGTAATTAGTAATAAGTCAATGGTTTAATCCCAAAATAATTTAATTGTACTTGGCGTAAGTTATATGACCCCATATGGCATGGGAAGATATATATGTTAAAACTTTTGAAACGTTTTGATTTCAAATTGATGAAACTAAAAAAGTTGAGTACATTCAAGACAAAACTACACATGGTGCCAAAACATGTTCACTCCCAATTTCTTTTCTTTTTTCATTGGTGAGTGGATTCACATGCACCATTAAATACGCACGTAGTAATATTACAGTAGTCCATGCATGCACAGAGATTCAAGTACGTACGTCCTTATTTTGTAAGCATGCAGGAGTTTCATCACGATTCACGTGCTTCCCAGGCTGTAGCTGAGAAAGATTAAAGAGCATGCATGTAATGTCAATTTTAATGCAGTTGAGTTGAGTTGAATAAACATATTGGTACTTTGGTAGTTGAGTTGCATTATATGACCCCAGCTCTTGAAACTTTATCCTTTTGAATTCATGTTAACTAATTATAGTATGACTTGATGTATTGGACTGTATTGTCAACATACTAATTTTTTTTTCCCTAATTGATGGCCATTAACCTAGGTAGGTAGGTATAGGTGGGGTTCATAAATTGAAGCAATGCGCTTTGCAATTAGACTGCCAAGAGCAGAATCATTGATGAAGTTGTGGTGAGTGGTTGGTATTACCAAATGCACTTATGAATTGGTGAGCTTTACAAAGCCATTGGCCATACTTGAGCTTGAATTGGTGTAGGCCTAACAAATCCAGGTTTTGAAAATTCTTGTATAACTTTTTCTGTGATGATCAAGAGAAATGATCAAATCAATATGTATACGTAGATATTCAACTGGAAATATATATTTTCTATATATAACAAGTGAACTTGTTTTTTTTTTTTTAACAGACCATATTATCTACACTAAAGAGGCGGGGATGGGCTTAGCCTCACAATGTGCTAGCAATAATGTGATTTAAATTTTCCCTTTGGCTAGAATCGAACCTAAGACCTCTCACTTACAAGTGAAGAGGAATACCACTAAACCGTAATAATACAAGAAAAAAAATTAAACAAAGTGTTGTGGCCTATATTTAACTGAGGGGTGCAGTGCGGAGTAGAATAGACTTGAGGAATTGTGTGTTAATTCTCCAATCATGTGCCTTTATTTATAGTAATAAGGAGGAAAGAAACTTGCTTTCAAAGTAATACAAAGTCTATTAGGAAAGATCTTCTAGATCCCAAATGATTATTAATCTATCTCTACTTAGGACAATCACAATATGTATTAGAACATATGTCACAACAAAAAGTACATACTTGGAAACCCAGAGTCATCGAAAATCCTGATGGATTTTGGAACATTACGACCTAGAAGAGTGACTCCCCTCCGTTGCCTATACTTCTCGACCTTGTCAGCCGTATAAGAGGTGCCATCAGTAGTAATTTTTCTCTTTAGGTGGTCTTGCGTTTCAGACGTGCCGCCTTGAGCAGTAATTTTCCTCCACTGCCTCCTATACTCATTCGCTGCAGTATTTGAGGTGCCTTGAGCAGCATCAGCACCATAATGATGTGATAACCCCATCAGCACCATAATGATGTGATAACCAAGCGACGACAACCGCCCATAGCACCACCACCAACAACATCCAACCCACTGAAACAAACAACACAAATTTATAAAGGAGAATGTTAGGGAGACCAAATTATGTGAGACCAATAAGAAGTAAACATGTTAATCAACACTTAAGTAATAAACCAATCATCAACATCCACATCATTTAGTTTAAAATTTGTTCTCCTTAACATTACCTATTTATAAATCCATTTAAATACCTCAAAATCTTAATTGAATACGCCCTCCTAAATTCATATCCAATTCCCCATACGAGAGAGTTACCTTCTTCTTGTCCAAGAACGATAGTCATTGCTGGAGATAGCTAAGCTAGGGTTTCTAATATTTTTTTTAATTTTATTATTATTAAAGGGAGAGGAAATTACAAAACTCACTATTACAATAATTTAGGGGTTAGGGGAGTTTCGAACCCGAAATACATAGGTGGAAGCCCAACATCCTATCTACTAGGATATTAGACTATATGCGTAGGGTTTCTGAATTTGATGATCGAATTTTTAACCAATTAGGAATTTATTTTTGTTTTTTTATTATTTAGGTTTCTGATCGGGCTTTCAGACCGCACTGAACGAATGAGTATGTGTAATTTTTTTTTATTTACCCTAATTTTTGTGAACCCTAGCTTCGAATTTCTTGTCTATAATTGTCATATCTTGTTCATGTTGCTTTGTCTGCAAGCCTTCTATTTTGTTTCTCGGCAGCCAATCAGCTCCGCATGCACACGTGAAAAGTAATGTTCGGGGGAGTATTAATTACATCTATATTAATTTGAAAAGCTTATATGTAATAACACAAAATCATAGTTTGAAAACTCGTTAAATACGATTTAATTTGAATGTATATTAATTAATTCTATATTTCTAATATGACATTATCTATTATATATAAAGAGAATGGAAAAGGTGAATAGTAATTTGGTGTCACTATGCTTCAACAAAAAATTTGGACAAAAATGCCCCCATAACAAAAAACTTCAAAGACATTCCAAAATAATACATCAAATAAGGTAGGGGCATTTTCATCATTTTAACAGTATTTATTTAATAATTTACTTTTTGGTGCTTTTTTTTAATTAGTATCTCACAATAAGTGAGCAACAATGTGATTCAATTTCTTTATTTTTAAACACATTCAAAACATCTTAAGATGCGTGTAATGCCGATTATAAAAAAAAAGTTTTTCGCACGTGGATAATAATGTGATTAAATAAGTTATCAAATGATTGTTTTTTTTAACAAACGATATTATCTACACTAAGGGGGTGGGGCTGGGCTTAGCCTCACAATGGACTAGCAATAATGTGATTCAATCAGTTATTTATTGAATATTATTTTCTCTATTTTTAAACACGTTTAAAACATCTTAAGAGGCGTGTAATGCCAGTTATAAAATAATATCTTTCGCGCACGGATAATAATGTAATTAAATTAATTGTCAAATGATTTTTTTTTAATAAACGATATTATCTACACTAAGGGAGAGGGGGTGTGCTTAGCCTCACAATAGGTTAGCAATAGTATGATTCAATCAATTGTTTATTAAATATTATTTTCTCTATTCTTAATGTAAATTCTATAGAGACCGATTTTATTATGTGAATTCAGCTGCTTTAATTGGTTTATGAGGGATTTCTTCTAGCATGATCTAAAATTATTCATTTACTTCAAATATTTGACTTTCTTTTTGTCAATTTACGCATATAAATACATTTAAAACATATAAGTAGCGAGTAGCACGTCGTGATTCAAAAAATGTCTTCTGCACGTCCGTGAGCGTGTGCACGAAGGCTAGTTAGACATAAACCGTATAATTAGGGTTAGGTGCATGATTAGCTAATTAGTGATAGTTGACACAATAAAAAGAAAAAAAAATATAAAATGGTAAATTTCATTTATGAGTTATATTTATGAGGATACATATCAAAGAATCAAAGTATCATACTTTTCAATGGACAAAAATGGCAAAAACCTTAAAGACTTTGATATGAAAATACCAAATACATAAAATCATATAATAAAAACTTAAAAGTGGAAAAGGTCAAGTGATCCTCCTGAGCCTTCATTGGCTCTGCCAGTGGAAATTAGCCTTCTCACATCTAAAGCCCTTATTTTTCCACACCAAACTATATTTTCAAGGCAGAAGCCACGTATTGTTAAAATACTATCTTTTATATTCTACTAAAAATTTCTGGTTCCGCCCTTATAGCGCATCCCTTTTTTTCTTCTAATTGCACCAAGACAACTTTCAATAAAACCTCACATCTTACTTTACATGCAGGTGATAAGACTTAAGTTGAAGATAATAACGGAATAATAACGGAATAATAACGGTGTAATTAGTAATAAGCCAATGGTTTAATCCCAAAATTATTTAATTGTACTTGGCGTAAGTTATATGACCCCATATGGCATGGGAAGATATATATGTTAAAACTTTTGAAACGTTTTGATTTCAAATTGGTGAAACTAACAAGGTTGATCAGTACATTCGAGACAAAACTACACAGGGTGCCAAAGCATGTTCACTCCCAATTTCTTTTCTTTTTTCGTTGGTGAGTGGATTCACATGCACCATTAAATACGCACGTAGTAATATTACAGTAGTCCATGCATGCACAAAGATTCGAGTACATACGTCCTTATTTTGTAAGCATGCAGGAGTTTCATCACGATTCACGTGCTTCCCCAGGCTGTAGCTGAGAAAGATTAAAGAGCATGCAATGTCAATTTTTATGCAGCGAATCTTCATTCTTTTGTAGTTGAGTTGAATAAATATCTTGGTACTTTGGTAGTTGAGTTGCATTATATGATCCCAGCTCTTGAAACTTTATCCTTTTGAATTGATGTTAACTAATTACAGTATAAAACTTGATGTATCTGACCTTATTCTCAACATACTAAATTTTTTTTTTCTTAATTGATGGCCATTAACCTGAGGTAGTTAGGTATATAGGTGGGGTTCATAAATTGAAGCAATGCGCTTTGCAATTAGACTGCCAAGAGCAGAATCATTGATGAAGTTGTGGTGAGTGGTTGGTATTACCAAATGCATTTATGAATTGGTGAGCTTTACAAAGCCATTGGCCATACTTGAGCTTGAATTGGTGTAGGCCTAACAAATCCAGGTTTTGAAAATTCTTCTATAACTTTTCCTATGATGATCAAGAGAAATGATCAAATCAATATGTATATGTAGATATTCAACTGGAAATATATGTTTTCTATATATAACAAGTGAACTTGTTTTTTTTTTTTTTTTGAACAAACGATATTATCTACACTAAAGAGGCGGGGATGGGCTTAGCCTCACAATGTGCTAGCAATAATGTGATTCAAATTTGCCCTTTGGCTAGAATCGAACCTAGACCTCTCACTTACAAGTGAAAATGAATACTACTAAACCGTAATAATAAAAGAAAAAAAAAAGTGTTGTGGCATGTATTTAACTGAGGGGTGCGGGGAGTGTAGAATAGACTTGAGGAATTGTGTGTTAATTCCCCAATCCTATGCCTTTATTTATAGTAATAAGGAGTAAAGAAACTTGCTCTCCAAGTAATACAAAGTCTATTAGGAAAGATCTTCTAGATCCCAAATGATTCATAATCTATCTCTACTTAGGATTTACACAATCACAATATGTATGAGAACATATGTCACAACAAAAAGTACATACTTGGAAACCCAGAGTCATCGAAATCCTGATGGGGTTTGGAACATTACGGCCTAGAAGAGTGACTCCCCTCGGTTGCCTATATTTCTCGACCTTGTCAGTCGTATAAGAGGTGCCATCAGTAGTAATTTTTCTCTTTAGGTGGTCCTGCGTTTCAAACGTGCCGCCTTGAGCGGTAATTTTCCTCCACTGCCTCCTACACTCCTTCGCCGCAGTATTTGATGTGCCTTGAGTAGCATCAGCACCATAATGATGTGATAACCAAGCGACGACAACCGCCCATAGCACCACCACCAACAACATCCAACCCACTGAAACAAACAACACAAATTTATAAAGGAGAATGCTAGGGAGACCAAATTTGCAAACCAAATTATGTGTGACCAATAAGAAGTAAACATGTTAATCAACACTTAAGTAATAAACCAATCATCAACATCCACATCATTTAGTTTAAAATTTGTTCTCCTTAGCATTACCCATTTATAAATCGATTTAAATACCTCAAAATCTTAATTGAATACACCATCCTAAATTCATATCCAATTCCCCATACGAGAGAGTTACCTTCTTCTTGTCCGAGAACGATAGTCATTGCTGGAGATATTTAAGCTAGGGTTTCTAATTTTTTTTAAAATTGTATATATATATATATAAAGTGAGAAAGCCAAATAGGTGAAACATTCAGAAATGCCAAGAAAGCCCCTTTGTTTTCTTCACAATCCAAATTCAGAAAAATTGGAAAATAAGGACAAACTGGTAAAAACACCATAACTGAACAGAAAACAAATAAATAAATAAAAAAATCTATAATAGATGTGCTTAACCGTTAACCCTTACAAACTGCTGGGCAGTTTAAAAACACAAATTACGAAAAAACCATATATGTAAAAAAGAACTATAAAAAAGGTTACAGTAGACAGAAAATATAAAAATAAAAATATAAAAAATCCAAAAAATATTGGAAAGGAAAACAGAAAATTAAAAAAAGGAAGAAAAACAACCCGCATACCTCTCAAACTGCTAAGCAGTAGTGGGCAGTTTTCTCCCCCAAAGATATCCACGCTCTGAGTTTGGTGGGAGGTTGAATACTAACCACCTGTATACCACCAGTATTTAGAGATGAGTAATCGGAAGGAGGCTAATTTTGGTTTTCAGGAGTTTGCTGTGCGGTTTCAGTTCATTCTAAACAAAAAAGGATTGACAAACTCAGTGACAGAAATTAGTAAAACATTTGAGCTTTCAGAACAAAGGTTTCTTCAACTTTTCAGTTTTCGTTCTCTTCAACTTTTGTAAATTCAATAAAAGTTATTTGTTCATCCAATTAGGTTTCTGGAAATGTTCAATTTCTTTGTTTATAAAGGATATGATTTCGGCTACAGTTCAGGTTCTCGGATCGATTCCACATTTTAAATCAACTTTTGACCTACTAACCTTGATGGAGGGGATGGGCAGAGGATGAACATTCATTGACATATCCCATTTTTTGTGCGTGCAAGGGGGGGCTTTTTCCATTATTTGTGTTCAGTGCAGGCGGTGCATGCAGACCAATTTCGACCCTCTTTTACAATTCATGAATTTAAGCCAAAATTGAGAGAGAGAGAGAGTAAGGGTACTTACGAGAGCCTCAGCCTCTGCGGACAATCTGGTATGATGATGGTGGCGGGCAGAGCAGAGGGCAAATAATGGTATGATGATGGTGGCAGGCAGAGCAAAGGGCAAATAATAAGGATTTTTGCCGAGAAGGTTATCGCATTGCGCTAATGGTTTCTCTAAGGGTGCGTTTGGTACGCGGGACGGGACGGGACGGAACGGGAAAAAGCGTTCCGTCCCGCGTTTGGTACGCCAAAAAAGGGTGGAACGCTCTGTTCTACGGGACAGAATTTGGGTGTTTTTGTGTCCCGCGTCTACCCCCTGGAATGTGTTGTTCCACGCCTGTGGAACACAATATTTTACCATTTTAAGACAAATGCACCCCATATCTTTTTCAAAAATTACACCATCTAAATCATTACAAACCCTAAAACAATCTCTTCTCTCTGCCTGCCGTTGTCTTCCTCATTCCTCTCCTCTGCATCTCCCCTCTTTCGCAACCTTCCTCTTCATCCTCTGCATCTCCCCTTTGCAACCTTCTCTCTGAACTTCAGCTTTGCATCTCCAGTCCAGGTACGATCTGCCTTTCGGTCTCTCTTTCTTTGTATTGCGCTGATTTGGTGAAAACATGCCTCCAAAATGTAAGACTTGATTTTGGGGTTTCCCTTCTATTTAGTTTGTTGCAGCAATAAAATCAGAAAATTAAAAAACATGTTCATTTCTCAGTCCTCATACCACATTTTGGAGGCTCGCAATCGGAAACCCAACCCATTTGGACGGACTGACTCGTCCACCTTCCATGCCGCAATTGTTGAAACTAAAACCCCATTTTCTTACAAACCTGACCCCAAGTGGCGGCAAAGTTAAAGGATATTGACTTGATGCAAATCCTAAACCCCTAAAGTCCTTGATTGACCATGTCTAGGGTTAGCTATGCAAAACCAAAAGTCCATGTGCTACCAAACGCAGGACGGAACAACCGTCCTGTTCCGTCCTGCGCGTACCAAACATAAAACAGGACATCTGTTCCGTCCCGTCCCGTCCCGTCTGCGTACCAAACGCTACCTGAGTTCTGACCTCAATGACCTTTTTTCTTTTCTTCAGTAATCACTTACTGTACTATACATGCTAATTAAAAAAATTATTTGTTTTTATTCTCAGGATATTTACAAGAATACCCACAAGAAATGAAGAAGGAGCTACCTATTGATAAGATTCCAAACAGACGTGTTTCTATTTTTACACCTGGTTGGGAGATATCCGTCGGAGTAAACACTACTGATCTAAGCCAACTAATTCTCAAAGAGTGGAAAAAAAAGAAGCATGAGCAGTATGTATTCTAAATTCTTTATTAACTTTGTTATAAGAAATCTAACATTATATATACTTTTAATATATAGGTGGCGTATGAAAAAGGCGGTAGAAGAATTAAAACCTTCAACAACTCCTCACATCATACGCATATGGAATAAAGTCCAAAAAATTAGGTACAACACCATTTCTTACCTATTTATGTTTAATTGCATTCTCCATATCATTCTACAAATTAATTATCTCAAATTTAAAAAATTAAAAAAAACAATTTATGGGTGCAAGAAAAAGATTAATAGTGATCAAACAACTTTTCTAAATACGGTAACTCTTCTCTTATTTTCATATGAATGTATACTATCAATTCAAATTGCATTCAATTTTCAAATAGAAATAAAATTGCATTTTTCTATCAGTTTTACAAGCATCACACCCGTCTCAAAGTACAAAGGTTGAAGTACAAGATTAAGGTAACATTTCTTACTATTTAATTTTGTAAACATGATTACAATTAGTTACTTCAAACTTGACAATTTATTTATCTTTCAGTATTCTAAAAGTAACTGGAGTAAAAGTATTGCTATGGGAAAATTATAGAAGTTAAAGGTATTTAGGTTAAATTGCTTACAATCTTTATATTTGGGATTGTGCATTATAATGCATTATTCACATCTTAATCAATTAGACTTCTTAATTTATCATCATTGCTTGCAGATTAACCATGAAAATCTAAAGCATCAAGTGCAAGCAAATGGATGGCAAGCATGGCGGAAGGACGAAAAACTTGACAACTAGATATTCATTATTCGTGAAATCAAGAATGTCTTTATTCGTGAAGTCAAGCATTAACTAGATATTCATTATGTAAAACTAAATTATTGCTCCTATCAGTTGTGTCCATTCTTGATTTGATGAAATCCACTTTATTTTTTTTTCTTCGTATTCCTAAATAAACCCAAAAAAGAAAGAGAACGCAATATTTTTTTTTGACAAAAGAAAAGATAACATGGGGAAAAAATATATGCAATAACAGTAACTTGCATATTAATATCAATGCAGAGAAGAGCTACTTAATGTTTTTATCTACTCTTTTTTTATTTACATCTACTTACTATTGTTCATGAACTTTAGATAGGAACTTGCATCCAAATATCTCATGTTGTTTGACAATTGCATGAATAACATTTAAATCATTACTTTACACAAAGTGAAAACGAAAAACTTGACAACTTTTTAGGACATGCATGATAAAGAAAAAGTTCATCTTTGCACAATACAATTAAAATATATCTTGACAATTACAATGAAAAAGAATAACACAAAACACTTTTAGGGGCGCGTAGCGCCCGTGATGCAAAAATGCCTCTCGCACGTAGTGCGTGCGGAGAGGCTAGTTATTATTAAAGGGAGAGGAAATTTCGAAACTCGCTATTACAATAATTTAGGGGTTAGGGGAGTTTGGAACTCAAAATGTATATGTGGAAGCCCAACACCCTATCTACTAGGATATTAGACTATATGCGTAGGGTTTCTGAATTTGATGATTGAATTTTTAACCAATTAGGAATTTATTTTTGTTTTTATTTAGGTTTCTGATCGCGCTTCCAAACCACACTTTCAAACCGCACTGAACGAATGAGTTTGTGTAATTTTTTTTTTATTTACCCTAATTTTTGTAAACCCTAGCTTCGAATTTCTTGTCTATAATTGTCATCTCCTGTTCATGTTGTTTCGTCTGCAAGCTTTATATTTTGTTTCTCTGCAGCCAATCAGCTCCGCATTCACACGTGAAAAGTGATGTTCAGGGAAGTATTTCCAATGGAATTAAAGGCCGTTTCACCACCATAAGACCAAATTCCAATGGATCCCATACACAGGAAGCCCGATGCAAAACTGGCAAATGAGCCCAAACAAATCTCAATCCTAAGTGCCAATTTTTGCAGCGTGAGTTTGTAAAGTGATTAGTTGTATGGAAATTTAAGTCGAGAGAGTGAGAGACCATTATCAGTTTAGGTCACACTAGGCATGCTGCAAGTTTTTGAGTTAGTAGAGCATAGTCACTGCTGATAGTTGCGTAACAAATTACAATTGATAGTCAGATTTAAAAAGAAAGAAAAAAAGCTCAGTATTAAGTAAAGGATTGTGATTCTCTTCGGATCTCACTCTCTGAAGTCTAAGGACCAAGAAATTTAGATCGTTTAAGCGAAAGAAGATGGGGGTCGTCTGACCCAAGTGTTTTCCCTCACACGGCCCCTCTGTGTGTTTTGCTGTGCTTGCCCCGCTTGTGGGCTTTCTTTGTTCTGTTGGCTTTCGCCCTGGTTTGAATATATCCAGTCGTTCAAAAAAATAAAAAAAGAGAAAGAAATCTGGATCCTTATTATGTGTAAGGTGAGATTAGTAAAATAAATTAATAAGAACCGCATAATTCCATTTAAGTGATTCAGACTTCTTAATCCTTGCTTTGAACGGTGAGATCCGAAGAGGATCTCTCAAACTCCCAAGTAGACTATGTAGTTGACATACTTGTCCGCTTCTTTAACCACCAAAAAATAAACGCAACGGAAAAAACTGTAAAAGCTGAAGCACGCAACACAGCACCAACACCTTTTCCCGGTAAGTGCTTCTGCGGCTCTGCCTCGTGTTTGTATTGAACTCTGATTCTTTAGATTCCACTTTCTGGGCTTATGTTTCTTATATTTCTCTGAGGCATTCCGTCGAACAACTACAGTGCGCACTATTTTTGCTTGCTTTATCTTGAAATTGGTATGCAAAATGTGTCATTGGCAAGATTTTGATATCTGGATTGCTCGTGTTTTGCCTGAATATTGATTTGGGTTCGTAAATATATTGTCTTTCATCGTTTTACACCGTTCTCCATAAATGGGCTAAGGCTGGCCGACATTCACCTCTCCCAGACCCTACGTAAAGCGGGAGCCTTGTGCACTGGGTACAACCTTTTTATCGTTTACACCGTTCTGCTTTGGTTTGTGTAGAACAGAATGTTGTGTTTGAATGGTTTGTATAACAGCACTCTTTTTTTATGATTTTCTGTTGTTATGTTGAATTTTGTAGTTTTAGAGATGAATATGGCTTATAGTAATTGAATCCTACTCTCTCTTGCTACGTAAATGTATGGATGTATGTATAAATGGATGAACTTTCATGGTGGGAAAGTAAAAGAATGAACCAAAGGGAGATAAATTGGTTCCGGAATGTTTAGTTGAGGGATTTTTCGTTATAATTTTTTACGAGAATGAAATTTGTAAGTCCTATCCAGTCATCTTGTTCAGTATATGTCTTCTTACTAGACTTTCAGGATATGCAAATATTTATTTCAGAAATCACAGAGGTAGTGTACGATATGAACGATTGCCTTATAAATAATTAGTGCTGTACTTTTTCTTTTGGTGCTTGTCATGCTCGGTCTCGTGACCTTTTCCTAATCAATCTTGGATCAACAAATAGTAAATACACCGCTGATGTTGAAATCCCGTGAAAGCATTATTCTTCGTGTGAATTGGTTGCCTCTTTGAGTATATTGGTCTTCTCTTTGAATTAATCATTACAGTTCATGAAACTGAATTCAAATTATACCAATTTAATAGTTTGTTTGTGCTTGTAGCGTATGAACCAATGTGTGTAATCACTGTGGTGTGATTATTTTTCTTAATTCTTATGCTGCGTGAAGTGATTCATTTGTTTTACTACTAGGCCTAGAAACTTAGCCACAGATTGCACTGCTATAGTTGCTTACCAACTTCCCGCTCGTACTTGTAATTGTTTTGTTTGTCTAACTGTTAAGCTTTACTGGACCTTTAACTTTTGTTTGCTTGG